GTTGAATGTGTCAAATGACACATTTGTTAGCAAGTTCTGATCTGATCCAGCTATGTTGCCATGGGCCTTTTTAATGAGAGCTTTAAAGAGTGACTGTAGGCCTGTCTCCGTCTGGAAACATCTTTAAAAGCAGCAGCCAAAATACTGAAAAGTTCTCAGGCCCAAAAACAGAGATGTTTTAACTTTAAAACCTAAGGCTGAATCTCAAACGGCTCCCTGCTCCCTATATAGTGCACTACAAAGGTCATGAAATTATGGCTTTCCACATCTAAATAACGCACTGAATGTTTGATAGGGACTACAGGGATATAAATGGCTTTCTATTAGATATACAAAAGCACTGTTTGGGTGTAGAAGCCATTATTTTGGCCTACATAGGGCACTACATAGGGAGCAGGGAGCCATTTGAGACTCGGCCTAAGAAATCTTAGCTAATTAACTCAGACTTTCAAGGCAGCCAAGTTACTTACTTTTTTAAACAACAAATATTTTTTCTGCAGTTCTGTGAGGGTGATTTTTGAAAATAGTAGGCTAATAATACACAATGATTTTCGGTATATTTAGATATTCCTAATAGATATTAGAGGCCGTGTTTTCCTCTTCAGCCTCAGCCCAACATTCATCGTCATTCTTTTCTCCGGAGTGCTTTAAAAATTGATAGCTTTCGTAGTTCAAACAGTTCGTTGCTTTTTAAAGCTCACAGCACTAGCAGTCACACACCGAGCAGCAGCAGCAGCCACAACACCAAACACCATCCGAGGGTGAGTAGTTAGTAGCCTGTCTATTCTCTGAATAAGAAATATTCATATTAATAAGATAAAGGGGTCAGTGTTGGGCTTCTTTATTGCATGTCTGTATTACAAGTATTTAACAGAGGGCGCGAGATGCCATCATATAGCCGTTACTTTGTCAATTAGCACGTAGCAGGAGGGCTGAAGGACAAAAAAGCTTAACCTCAGACGGATAAATGAACAGAGTAGACTATCTCTTTTTCACTTCGCCTGTTTTTAAGGATGAATAGAAGTAGTTAATGTGTATGCGGCGCTGTTGGTCGAGAACTCTTCGGTTACCTTCCTTACACCGCTTTTCAGACACGCCCCGCCTCCGTGCACTAGGATTGGGTGTTGTTTTGTGAACGTCATCTATCAACCAATCGTAGCGCGCATAGCAAGAGCCTGCTAGCCAGTCTCAGCGCAGAAAGGCGGGATTTTCCTGAATACGGGTGTGAAGAGTAAAAACGGTACCTGCTACTTCTTAGCACCGCTCAGATCTGGTCAGAGTGAGGAAACGATGACCGCATGATCGGCCGCTGTTTATCTCGGTTTTGTTCAGCGTTTTCTGCGGGTCCCACAAATGATTTTGGAATATTTCAAAAGCATAAAGATGAAGATACTCGGCAGGCTGGACGTCACTGTGGTGGGTCGATGTTTATGTGCCGTAAAGATAAAGTGATTCAGGTGCACCGGTTGAGATTTGATACTCTTTCTTTCGTGTAGATTTAATCAGAGGTGGGTTAATAACTGGGTACATTTCCTCAGTAACGTACTTAAGTGCAGTTTTAACGTATTTGTGCATGTCTGAGTGTTTTTCTTTCTGACCAGATACTTCTTTAAAGTTTTTTGTAGTTGCTATTTTTACTTCTACTTTTGTCAGTATTTTGTTAAGTATGATTTTATTCTAGTTTTCCCACCTCTGGACTTCAGCATGCTTAATTATCTAGAAAGAGTGGGAAAAAAACAAGACAAGAAAAAGTGCTTGGCTAGTCCATGACAGATTCTACCTTGTAATGTTGTGGTTTTCAACTGATGTTGACAAATGAGCCCATACATTAAAGGGCCCAAATCATAGATAACTTTTTTCAACTAAAAGAGTTTGATGTAGTGTGTAAACATTGCTAAAGCTGTAAAACGTACAGTTAACTCTCCAGTTCATGTGGAAACTAAGCTGCAAAAACTTGAATTAATTCTTTCATTTGTCAAAACCAGCACATTTACATATACATGAATATTCAACTTATAGCAGTTTAGCCCCACCCCTTCCTGCTAAAACTGTAAGGAGTGTTTCAGCCCAGACTGCTTTATGATTGAGGTGCAGTACAGGGCAGCCAACCACAACAAGGGTTATTTGCATATCGGTCTTAAAACCTGTTTAATCATTCTGTTTTTGTTAAAGAGAGGTTGGAAAGAGGTCATGTAAAATGAATTATGACTTGTTATGACGATGAATTCACTGAAATGAATCTCATTTGTATATTTGCTGTGTACTTGTTCCTGTACTATGTTCCTACATTGATATACATAAATGTGCAAACAAATATAGAGAAGTAGAGATTCATACAGGATAATTTAATTAGTGAGGGAGCTGTTACAAGACTTGGCCTGAACTGAATGAGCCTGACTGTTTGCGTAGTCACCCTGCAGTGAAGCCTACTACCAGAAAAAAAACTCTTCAGCTGTACTTCATAGTTACCTACAGGTATGCAACATGATCCAAAATATTTTTTCCAGTGTAAAAGGAAAGAAATTCTTAACTAAGAAAGTTGTCTTTCTTTTCCGGAGGCTTACATATTTAGAAATTGAAATCTGCAACTTAGATATTGTCTTATAATATTTATAATATCTACTACACGATTTTAGCCATGATTTTCCTGTCGCAGACCTTTTTTGTTCTTGGGAGGACACAAAGAACAAATTGTAAGAACAGCAATGAGCAACAGCCAATGAGAGCTTGAGAGAAAACTCTTGGGGAGCAAAGTGTGACCACAGCAGAGCTCATGGCACAGGGATTATTTGAACAAAGGTGCCGCGAATACTGACCGCAGCTGCTCGTCCACTCAACTTCATTACAGCGTTATGAGCAGCTTCTCAGTGAATATTTTTAGCAACTTTCTCTCATGTGCTGGCGAACCCAGGAAATTATACAACAAATTAGGGGACATTTCTTGTATTTGGTTTTGTGGGATGTGGGGATCACCGATCTCCAAGATCAAGCCTCTTCTGCTCTCAGGTGTGTAGTGTGGGTATGCCTTAAATTCATTTCTCCTCTTGCTGGAGAGCCCTGTGATGCTTGGGTTCTTTGGTGGTCACATGTGGCTCCTTGACCTAGGAGTAGGCGATATGACAAAAATATTATGCCACGATACTTTTCACGAGACATTTTCACGATAAACAATATGCAGCATGGTACTTTTTTTTAGTTTTTCTGAGATTTAATAAATTGAAACAGAATAGAACCTCTAGTGCCACATATAAAAATACTATAATAATATACCTACAACTGCAATGATATTTTATTAAATGTTTTTAAAACTGCACTGCACTAAATCTAATGAAACAGGCCTTATTATGCTGAATTTGTAATGAAACATGTTGTTAGTCATTGAACTTTAAGTACAGGTGATATCCATGATATATTCTCAGAAAAGCATATTGTGGCTTATGATGATAACGATAAAATGTTGTCATATTGCCCACCCCTACCCTGACCTGTAGTTGGATCTTTGTCAAAATCACAGTTTGAAAGATTGAAATGTTTAAGTCACAAGGGCTGTGTTTTTTATTAAATGTCATCAAAGTAGTCTTGACAAGTTTTAAGTGGGGAAACTTACCTGATTTAAACACCGATTTAAACAGAAAAAGTGTATATTCTGCTCATCTTGACCAAAAAATGGGACATGATAAATTTATAGAACAGTTTAAATCACAGTGACAATCAATATTTGGCCACAAAACTGTAATTAGATATCTTGCCCAAATCATTCAACCCTAACTATAGTGTATTATTACTCTTTAATTATAGGAAAGTATTGATCATGGCTTAAAAGATGAAGCATGACCTAAACCTCTTGCTCTTTGGTCAGTACCATGCCAGTCCGTCTAGAACACTCTTTAGAAACAGTTTACTTTAGATCTTTAGGAGTTTATTCATTTATTTTTTCTTAGGGACAGTGTGCAGTCAGTATTTACGCTAGCTACAAGACACTCAGTTGAAAGTTTATAAGGTCCACCTACCTTGTACCTACACTTATGTGCCATTTTATTAAAAACACCTACCTCATAGATGCACTTTGTAGGTTTACAATTAGCCCATCAGTTGCTGCACAAGTTATCAGCCCCCTGTACCTGATGAAAGGGGACCACCAGATACGTGGGTGGTGAGCCACTCTCAGCACTGTAGCACTGCAGTGATACTGACATAGTAGTGGTATGGTAGTGTGCGTGGTGATGTATCAGGTGCATTCACTCCTGGTTCAGATTTTTACACCACAATCCTGTGGTCAGAAACCGATCGCTGATGAAGAGCCTGAGGAAGACTAACACAAAGTGTGGTTTGATTTTTGTTGAAAGGCCAAAATGGCTCCTCTTAACATTTGGGTTGCCGACCCCTGGGTCAAGTGAAGTCTGAATGCGATCCGATCGCCAAAAACGCATGTTAATTCAAGATGTAAACAGGTCCTGTGAGTCTAACTGATCCCAGAGCATTGAGGTTACTACAGTTTATTTCTAACCTTTCTCAGTGCCCTTGTACGAGCCTGTTCAACTTCAGACAGTGTGCATTGTGTCTGCAGTGAATTGAGCTGAAAGGGAGTGATTAGTGCGAGTGCTTGGTGTGAAAATGTAAAGGGCAGCTCTGGTAATCGATTAGACACACTCGCGCGCTTACGCAACACCGTGCGTCAAAATGTCTGGTGGGTTTCTCCTGAGCGGGATGAGTCACTCCTCACAAAGTTGTGTATGGTTCTGTGAGTTCATGTGTGAGTGAGAGATGCTTGTTGTTTGTCAGTGTACGTACACGAGAGACAAAGAGAAAATGTTAATTTATGCATGTGCCCCACTTAAAAGCCTGTACAAGTGGAACAGTGATATAACAGGAAGACAGCATTCATTGGCTGAAAAATGGATCTGAATTCCCTGAACGTTCAGGTTTATGAACACTATATTGTACAGGTGGTTGGTGTAAATGGAATTTGTATTGACAGCCTCGCTCTCTCTTCCCGATAGGACTTTTTCCTATGACGATCCTAAGGTGGAGTTCAACGTGGATGCCCCTAATGGAGTGGTGATGGAGGGCTACCTGTTCAAGAGAGCAAGCAACGCCTTTAAAACATGGAACAGGTGAGCAGAGTTGGACTCGACAGTGTGATCCACAAAAGTTTGCTTTGATAGGTTATAGTAGCTAATAAGGTATGGAAATGTGTACTCTCCAGTTAGCACTCTGCAAGCCATGTGGCATAGTTTATTTTTAAGGCTGATGCAGAAACATGGCTATTTTAGCCATTTAATATACTTTTCTCTGTTAGTAGTTAGATGTTTCGGTGCTATTCTTGTTTTTATTTGATTACATAATTAACAAACAAAGCCAGAAATGTGTAGATTTCATTTTAGTTTATTTTATTCCTGTCATTTCAGTCACATTTTATTTATGCTTTGATTAAACGAATCAGTATATTACATTACATTTGTTGGTATAGTGTAGTGGGTAACACCCCTGCCTTCTACGCTGTAGACTGAGGTTCAATACCCTGCCTGGGCAGTACCCTACACTATACCTGTAAGAGTCCTTGGGCAAGAATCCTAACACTACCTTCGCCTACCTGTGTAAATATGATCAAATTGTAAGTCACTCTGGATTAGAGCGTCTGCCAAATACCATAAATGTAAATCAGTAATAAACGCTTATCCTTGGACATGCATGTGTTGTAACTTTGTAGGTGACACATTTAAATGAGTTAAAGGGAAAATTGCCAGATCCTGAGAATGGATCACCTCTGAGATGCTCAGTTTGATAGTTTTAAGTAGGGCTGCAACTAACGACTATTTTCATAATTAGTTAGTTCACCTATTATGACTTTGATTAATCAATTAGTTGGGAAATGAAAACCTGCAGCTATCAGTCTGGCAATAAAGTTTCTTTTAGCCAATTAAAATACAAAGATTTCCTTTATAAAAAAACACCTAAGTTCTAATTCCTATTTTCTAAATAGGGCTTTTTATCACTGTCACAGCAACAGATTTTCTGCATTACTCCTGAAAACTATGTTTATGAAAGATGCATAAACAATAAAGAAACAACACAAACAGATCTTACATGGCAGTCAAAGACAGGCTGGCTTTGTGTAGTTCTCTTCTAGTGGCAAAGCAGAAATCAATTCAAAAGCTTCTGTGTGCTTGATTACATCATGTAATGAAATTTGATATTACAGATCACTAACTAACAGTCTAGTTCAGCTGTGTCAGGTACAGAGACCCAAAGCAGCTTATCACACGTAACCTTGCAGTAAATGTGCATGATGTCGTCTTTTTCAAATATGTAGGTTTAGTCCACATTTAAATACTCAAAATAGAGTCTTAAACATTTCAGTGACCTTTAAGAACATCTGAACTGGTCTGTGTGCATTAGTGAAATTATCTTAAATGTAGTCAATATATCTAATATTTCTTATTTTGAGAGTCTTGTAAGAATATTATAAGATTATTTAACTTATGTCTGACATTTTTTACTATTTTAGTGAATTTATCTCACAATATTGGCAGATAATTTTGCTTGTTCTAAGAAATGATCTGCCAACATAGTGAGATAATTTGGTATGAACTAAGATTAATGAGATAACTTTTCCAGGCAGTTAAAAGTAATGTAATCTCATTACATTTTGGCAGAAGTTATTAGTAACTTGTAAGTGTAAGGTTTTTTAAGCACACCATGGATATCGCCAGAACTTAAAGAACATATATATATATATATATATATATATTCATCATTTTAATAGCAGTTTTTAAATGTGACACTACTACAACATTTTGTCTGTATGATCATAATTTTGTGATGCATATTGATTGTGTAAAAATTACTTTAAGTTTTGTGATATGCTATTTTCTCCATATCACCCACCCCTTGTTTTAAAGTGAATGATAATTCAGGCAGGCAGTTTGCATGATGCTAATTGATTACTATAAGCATTTATTACTTGTTAGTTACATTAGCTGTGTAAGTTCAGTGCAAACCTAAAAAAGAAGCAAACTGGGGACACTAAATATGTCTTATATTTGGAAAGTTGTGTAAATTAGACTTTTTGCCAGCCTGTTCCTTTAATGTATTTTGCCCTATGCAGTGCTGTCACTTCATTAAAGAGCAGCTCAGAGTTGCAATGACATGGAAGTCATGCTGTTATGACATCAAGCAGGTCAACAGACATGAATGTTACTCCACATGCCATCTGGATTTGTGTCTCTTGGGAAAGAGCACTTCACTCAGACTTTTAACTTATTCACAGAGATGTCACCAGTGACTGGAATTTCTGCTTTATTTCTGCTTAGTCCACTTTTACCACTTTTTAAAGTCAGATCCAGCCATCTAACACGCATCTATTATTCATGGCTTTTCTCAGGCGGTGGTTCTCCATCCAGAACAGTCAGCTGGTGTATCAGAAGAAGCTGAAGGCAAGTATTCCTCATCTTCTTCAAATACCCCCAACCCAAAGGCACTTGCAGTAGCTGAGAGAGATTAAGTGCTCCATCAACACGCCTAGCAAGCAGCTTCTTTTAAAGCTACAGAAGGATCCAAATGGCTCAAGAGTTGTGCTGTATCATTGGTAGACTCAGGAGGCCTGGCGTTTTCTAAACAGTTGCAACGTTCATTGCCTTCTCAAATTAAACTTTTCATATAGAAACATTTGGTGTAGCAGAGCAAAGGATATAAAAATAGTGACTTTCAACTTTGGTTAATATCTTATATCTGATTTTGCTGTAAGATTTTCACAGGTAAAGCTGGAAATGTATAGGTGATAGGTGAACAAGAAATAAAAAGAAAAAAGGTATAGTTGTTGATTTTAGCTGTCAGCTGTAACTTACTGTTTCTTGAAATTGTTTGTTTGTGATCTCCCAACCATCTTTAAATAGTCAGCTTTATAGGCTGTAAAGAACCACCAAGAAGACATGTTGTTTTCTGTAATGAAATGCTAGTCAGTGAAGACACTGTGAGAACTCATATTTCACATGCTGAAAGAACTTTTAGTACTCTGCAGGTTGACTTACGGCTTTTAGTGAGATTGGCATTGTTGTGGTCATGTTTTTTGGTAGTGATTGAAGTGTAGATGCTGGTTCCTACAAGAATATATTTAGTGCTATAAATCTCGGAAGTCTATGCTGACCAGGGTTACGCAGATCCTTAAAAAGTCTTATAAAGTCTTAATATAGATTTGAAAAAAATTGAGGCCGTTAAATATCTGAAAATATCTCATTTTTAAGTCTAGGAGACTGGGTTGCAAAGAGTCATTGTGTATATGAAGCAAATTCAGATTAGTCAGCCAAACAAAAATATCCAGCCAACAGTTGTCCCATTTTCAGAAAGTAACCACTGACCACAGGGCTGCCCAAAGTGTGACCTGTGGGCCAATATTTGCCTGAGAGGACATTTGAATTTGCCCTCTGAAAGCTATCCAAACCTCACTCCCTAATCCAATGAGAGAGCAAACCTATTTTTACACTAAATCTAACGTAATCATTTCTTATTTTCCATTTAAAATGGTCTTTTTACATTTTTAGTAACAAAATATAGTGGATAGTCTTTTTGGCCCATGTCCCACCACAAACATTGCACTTTGCTCCTATTTGTGAAAAGTGAAACCATCCAGTAATATAGTTATCATTCCCAAATTCACCCTCTTTCCAAAACACACTGCACTCCTTTGGAAAAGAATCCGACTGCGTAGGTGGTAGCTTTTTATGTTACCATCTAGATGTAGTTAACTTTGGTGCTCAGAAACAGTGATTGGTGAGTCGATCCAGCCTGTTCATTCGTTTACTTGTTTGTCTTCTAGGACTCTTTGACTGTTGTGGTGGAGGACCTGAGGCTGTGTTCCGTTAAACCGTGTGAGGACATTGAGAGGAGATTCTGCTTTGAAGTTGTGTCTCCTACCAAGTGAGTCCTACAGTACTATCCATACCCCTCTCAGCAGTCATTTCAAACAGCCTAAGTTTATTTGCGGTCATTCTAAGGTCATGCTGGTATGTGTAGCAATGTTATATGTAGACTGCAGGAGCTGAGTGATGTTCTGTATGTTCTTCAGGAGCTGTATGCTGCAGGCGGAGTCAGAGAAGTTCCGGCAGGCCTGGATCCAAGCAGTGCAAGCTAGCATCGCCTCGGCTTACAGAGAGAGTCCAGATAACTACTACATTGAGGTTAGTGCTTTCTGCTTTTACTATTGTTTTAGATAACAGTATTTCATGTAGTTTCAGGATCCACATAAACAGGTTTATTCGAGATTATTTAACAACTCTGTGCAGGCAGTTTGAAAGATGGGGTATAAGCTTCTTTTACTGACTAGCAACATTAGCAGCCTCATAGTTCCAGTGCAAGAAAAGAGAAACAAACTTCATATGTATTGTCTGAGAGACTACATATGGAGTAAGAAGAAATTTTAAGTTGATTTTTGGCTAAACTGCAGCCTTGACTCCATCTCTGTAACTTTGTGTCCACTTACTTGCAGCGCCTGGACCGCACGGCATCTCCCTCCACCAGCAGTATAGACTCTGCCAGCGAGCCGCGAGAGCGCAGCGGCAGGGCTGAGAGCATCCTGCAGAGAGTGCAGTGTCTGCCGGGCAACGAGCTGTGCTGCGACTGCGGCCAGGCCGACCCGCGCTGGGCTAGCATCAACCTGGGAATCCTGCTCTGCATCGAGTGCTCTGGCATCCACAGGTACACGTCCAACCACAATCAGCAGACCAGAGCCTGCCGTTTTAATGTGTATTGTAAATATATTAGTTCCATTTAGGTTTGCTGAAATATTCTGGCAGGCAAATATATCCAAAAGTTGCTAAACAGATATATTTTAGGCTCAACTGTAATTGATTAATCTATGGATTATTATTCCACCTGTGAGACCAGCAGTTTCTGCTTTTAAGGTGCAAGAAACAGTAGAAGCCATATCACCCTCTAAGCTTCCTGTAGTGAATTGCAATCTGTCAGACTGACTACATGTATCACATGAACATTACACTTCAAAAAATGATATTTGGGCAAGTGAAATGATCTTAAATCAGTTTATCTAATAATTGATATTTTGGCTTGTTTCAAGCATATTTCTTACAACAAGCAACATCTGCCATAAAAAGTGAGATGTGGAATATTGAAATCACTTAAAACAAGTACAAAAGGTCTAGAAATAAATTATGTACTTTTGTATTTTTTTTGACTTACAACAATCTCAAAATGCAAAATATTAGATATATTGACTAGATTAAATTTCACTTAGTCCTGACCCAGAGGAAAGAAATATTCTAAATGGGATCTCCTCTTAATCTCATGTCCTTCTGTTAGACATGGTTAAGTCCTGTTTGAAATCAGAGTGAGAGTTTAGCCATCTTCTCATGTTTCTGAAATTTGGCTCCTAAGAAGTAGCACCTGGATTTTCTCACTTTGATAAAATTTTGCCACAGAATTATCACAGAGCTCTCTCAGTGTAGAAGGAGAACTCATGCCTTTCTCATTCATCACCAGTACAATGCTTATGTTAATCTCCTCTTTTCTCCTAAGAGGGATTTAGGAGAAAGAATTAAGAAATCAGTGATCCTTCATTAATACAATACAGAGATCTGCTTTATTTGTTTGAGACTATTTTAAAAAAGGCATTTTTTTCCTCTGGGGAATATTATAGAACACTTCTGTTTTTAAGGAAATGATGCGTTGACAACAAAAAACACGTGCAAGTTTCTTCATAATCAACAAAATAGACTTTGTCAGCTAACCATATCAGATTTTGAAAGTCATTCAGAGTGGTTAGGTGTGAATTTTGTGTATTCTAGAGAAAGAGTACAAAGAAACAAATAGAATTGTTCATAGCAGTAGTTGTTAGCTGAAAACTCTATGATGTGTCAGATTTTTTTGTGAGCATGATTCATCATCATATTTAAAACAGCTCATGAATCAGCTCATGAATAAGACGCACAGAGTTTGTGCTGCTGCAGTGCAGTGTTAATGTCTGACTGTGGGCAGTAGAAGCTCTGTGACCTGACCTGCTTTGTGGCTTCAGCAGCAAACACGTTCTGTCCCTCCTGCTGCACTTCTCTCTAATTGGATCAGGGCTGGTTTGACTCCCTCAGTAGATCAGAGAGCAACTGGCCTTATGGGATAAGGACAGGAGACACTGCTACTGTTTTGTGTGCCTTCAAGCAAGAAGTGAGAACTAGACATGCACTGAAATTTCAGCCACAGAAAACTTTTATCCTGGAACAAAGTATCAAAATATCCTCACAAATCATTTCAGTAAGAGTTAGAATTAGATAATAAGTTAATTAGAGGTGCCCAAGTTTATGTTAACACAGAAAATTATTTATTCCACTACTTTTTTACGCAGTTTGACGCATTTTCCCAGTTTGATCCTTTAATCAATCAATCAACCATTATTTATACTAAGAATACTTTGAGGGTGACCTTCGTTTGCAGTATAGCCGAGCATTATACAAAAAACAGGGGATTGAAAAGAGTAAATATAAATGTATGATAGCTAAAGTATAGCAAAGCCAAAAAATTAGACCATAAAAGTATTAGTAAAGCAGTACATAAGACAAGTCAAAATTAGGAAACTTTAAGACAAAAAAGATTAACGCATCAAAACAGTCAAATAAAACTATTAGTGCATTTAATAATAAAAATAAATAAATAAAACAATGAAGTAGGGTAAGAAAAAATGAATGAAAATGAATGAAAATAAAAACAAAACTAAGACAATAATAGTAATGACAAAATAGTTATATATATATTATATATATATTAGGCACTGTTGCCTGAACAGAATCAGCAGAACAGTATAAAACAGCGTCATCTGCATTTAGGTGTACGTTGTAGTCTGAGATGAAAGTAGGAATATCATTAAAGTTTATTGAATATGACCAGTTGAATGTAACCAGGTAGTGTTCTTGTAATGAAAATGTGCTGTTTTAGTGATGTTTTTAATATGGCCATCGAATGACAATGTGGAGTCAAGACACCAAGATTCCTAATCTCGGCAACAGAGGACATAATTAAATCTGGGATAGCCAGGATGCAGTGTCCGATTTTTTTTTCAAGGTGGCTGCAGATGCATTTAGTATGTCCTCAGATTTTTCATCATTTAATTTTAAGAAATTCTTAGCCCTTAGCCCTTCTTTTCAGTCTTTATACCAGTCAAACAATTGATCAAAGCAGCTGTCTAATGATCTTGCCAAGCAGAAGCAAATATATAAAGAAATGTAAAGGGCAAAACTGAGCCCTGGGGAACACTATGGTAGCTCAGACCTAAACCTGCCAATAGAGACAAATTGCTGTCTGTCAATAAGATATGATGTAAAATGTAATTTAAACAACTGTGACAACAGATATAATGCTGATATATAGATATGGTTTTCTCTGAACCAAGATAGCTGCACAGAACACTTTGCAGGAATGACAGGAGCTGATCATTCTCTAGGGCTTCTAGGACTTTGGCAAGGCTTGAAGTTTAGAGATGATTGAGATTTATGTAGTGGAATGACATGAGCTGTTGTTCAGATACTGGGGATTCTGCAAGTTAGAATTGAAAGATTAAAAATGTAATATATTTTAAAATAACTGGTGACACCAGGCGTAACAAGAGATATGAGATTTCACCCTGAAGCGCAGCTGCTTGTGCAGAGTCCGTGACTGCAGCCCTCTCATTCAAATACAGGTTTTAAATGGCAGCTTCAATCGATGGCTCTCTTGATAAGTTATTTTCAACTAATGACATGCCGTGAATTTGTTTATCACTGAAGTACATTGCTGGGTTCACACGATTTTATGTGATTAATCACAATTAACTACACATACTAATGCAATTAAATGTCATGAATCATTTGACAGCCTAAAGACTAAAATTAATACAGTTCCTGAAATTTTGGTACGTAATAGTGCAAACTATCCATGCTTTTCTGTAGTTTTAAAACCTGCTGACGCTCATTTTGCCCCAGACCAGTGCAGTATCTCCAGCATTTGGAGGATTTCAGTTTCATAATAAATAGATCCACGTATATTTGCAGTGAAATGACACATATAAGATAATCTTAAATATCTTAAATCTACCTACTTCCTGCTCTATTACTTTAGATTCTTCAGTATCAGTCATGTCTGTTTTCTTCCATTTCAGAATGTCCTCAGGTGCTCATCTCAGTGTAGTCCTGTTATGTAATCATCTCTCTTCCTTGGTTCAGATCAGCTAATGAATATTCATGTATGCACTGGAGGCCTCTGTTCTCACACTGAGGTCCAGTGAGACTTTTTCTTCACACAATCTTTCTTTTCTCCTCTCTCATTCTAACTTGGTTGCCTGGATACAAGGCTGGTTTGTGGATAGAAACGTTGATGTGAGAGTGTGGGCAGCCAGTCTTTTCCTCAAGAAAGTGTACAGCACTGTCATTTCTAAGGCCCCACCAATATATGTATTGATTGATAAAATTGAAGACTAGTCCAGACTCAGCTGGTACTGCTAAATTTGTAACCCGCACCACTAAAAAGATGAATTATCACAGACATGGTTTTACAGTGCTTTGCTGTGTTTCTAAGCACTTAAGTTGATTAACAGAAAATATGCTGGGATAAACTGGTTAGATTTGAATGCATTTCACACCTTTATGTGCAGGCAGTTTATAAAAAAGAGCTTATTAACAGAAACCAAAAAATGCTGAAATGCTAAAAATATTGGGAGGCTCCGCCCTGGTGCTAGAACATTTGTGTTATTTATATTATGTAAGAATTTTCTGTTTTACTGTTTATTTGAGTTTTGAAAATTTGACAGTACAGGACTGACAAATCATTTTTGACAGTTTATAAGCAACAGCTGACACTCATCTGTCAGTAAAACACTGTTTAACTGAAACTGCTGAAGTCTTTCCATTTTTGGCCATATAAAATTATATTATCAAAGTTTGGAGCTTCTAAAAATCAGTATCTTTTATCATTTTCTCATCAGTCAGTCTCTGGTAGTTTCATCCCTCAACCTCGCTGCTGTGGTGAAAACAGCGTGCAGAAACTTGTTTGTGTTTTTGTTGGTGAATGAAGTGAGAGTTCCTTTCTACTAGAGAAATTTGAGAGCTTTAGCTGCCCCTTCAGAGCTTTTTTTACTGGAAAAGAATGCCTGTCCATTGTATGTAATTAGCATCTCACAGTTTATGTCAGTCTGTTCTCTTTTTGAGTGTGTAATTGGCCCATGCACTTTAACTAAACTCATATCTGTCAAAAGCTGACAGCTACTCATTTAATGGCAGGCCTTTACTTGCTCAGTACTGATGTTGCATGTTGTGTGTGTTCTCTCCATGCAGGAGTTTGGGGGTGCACTGCTCTAAAGTCCGCTCTCTCACACTGGACTCATGGGAACCTGAGCTACTGAAGGTGTGTACACTTTCTTGGATCTTGCTGGGGTCATGAGAAGCAGAAAATGCAACCAACCAAGACTGAACTTGGGAGGTGTGGAAAAATATCCCTGCAGATATATCCCTTCTTTAAAAACTAAAAGCAAGTCTTCTGAAAAAGAAACTGTAATAAAGGCAAAGAGTGGTTACACTACTGAAAATGTTTATATGAGCTGTCATTGCTAGCCAATGCAGCTCAAAGATGTAACAGCCATTCTGATCTGCTTCAGGTCAGAGTGCCAGACATTAAAATGAGCATAGAAACTAACCATGATCTCTGATGTAAAGGATGGAATTAGTGTTAATATGTACATGAATAATAACACTAGGACATTGCGACAAAAATACTTGTGGTTTAATATGTAAAAATTGTTACGCATTGATACTTTTGCTCAGATTTATCAATTTTTCAAAATTGCTTATCGTCCAAGCCCACTCAAATAGACACTGAAGTGAAACTATAATATCCGGTTTGACTGATGAACAACTGAGGAGTGAATGGCTTTCTGTAATTGGCTAAATCTGGACCTTGTTCTCTAATAGTAGCCTGACCTAAAAAAAAAGGTGCCAACTTTAACTTCAGGGTTACTTAATAACAAGTAATGTAATAACAACAACCGTCTGGTTATTATTATTGAGTGTGCCCTGTTGCATAACTTTGACATGAACATCCAGCTGTGATAAGTCAGTCTGGGCTATCTGTGGGAATTTGGGGAAATTACATAGATATTTTATCATGCTCCAGTCGATCAGTCAAATCCCGATAAATTACAAAAGCTCCTCTGTCAAAACTAATCCAGCTTGAAAAGTGCTTTAAAAACTCTGTGCAAGGAGCAGAAACAAATAAGGAAAAAACTCTGTTCTGCGCATGCACATACAACACAAGTGAAACGAGTACACACAAATAGGACACAAGTACAAGTAATGACAACTAGTCAAGGCCAGGAAGGGGTGGGAGTCAGTGGGTGGGTGACACTAGCACACTTATCTGGCATATTTTATTTATTCTTCCATATAAGCACACAAAATCTCATTTATAAGCTGCCAAGTCTGTGTATCAAAATCCCAGACAATTTGTGTCAGTCGTAGAGATGCTTATAATGTAGTTACTGACTTGTTCCTCCTCCCTTTGAATGCAGCTGATGTGTGAGCTGGGAAACAGTGTTATTAACCACATCTATGAGGGCACATGTGAGGAGCAGGGCATGAAGAAGCCAGGACCAAACAGCCCCAGGTGAGCAGAGCCAGCTAAAGCTTTTTTTAAGCAGAAATTCACCAGGGAGTAGTTTCTGTACAATAGATTGCTATATGGAGCACTAAGTTACTGTCGCTTAAAAAGAGTAAAACTTAGTGTAAATTGAGTTTATTGTTTAAATTTGTTTTGTTACTCATCTATTTAGGCTATGTTTCTGTTCTGTGGTCATTTTTAATATTTGTATTAATTACTGTGTATCACTGGACTCAACACAGGCAAGAAAAGGAGGCTTGGATCAAAGCCAAGTATGTGGAGAAGAGGTTCCTGAAGAAGATGACGACGGGGGTGGTGCTAGTGAACGGAGAGAGGAAGTCAGAGCGGCACTGGAGTGTCAAAAAATGCAGACGACACAACAGCGCCACCACTGTGCCCAAAAACCGACGGAAGTACAGACAGGAGCCCGGATCGGCCTCCCCCGCAACACTGTCCTCAGGTAACCCATCTAACATGCACGAGCACGCTGCACCTGCAGTTAACCCTTAGAAGTCTATTATTACCAGGTTGCAACACTATTTAAATATTGTTTTTGACAGTTTGCTTGTACTATTTACATTTAAACAAATAATCAATCATACACTTATATGCAGCTTACACAGTTTGTTCATGTTAAAGGTGAAAAGAAGTCTTCTCTCCTCTACAATGTTCTCTCCTATACAGAGAACACACTGAAATATGCAATTCTTCAGCAAATTTTATCTTTTTAAATGTTTATCTTTTTATCTAATATTTTATCTTATCTAATATTTTATCTTTTTAAATTTAAAATAGAAAATATTTTATGTGTTATTTTTTTCAAATATGTTCAGTTCAGCAAATAAACAGTAATTGTGCATTAAGGTGTGCAGAAGTGTGTTCTCTGTAAAGGATGTGTTAACTTTCACTTAGAAAATCAATAGAGCATTAATTAATAACTGCATGTGACAGTTGCAGTATTGGCAGGCAAAGGCTCACAGGTTAGGTCAGAAATGCAAGTTGTATTTACTGCTTCAGGTCTTTTTTCAAGCTGTGGCTCAGTTAAGGGTTAGTTCAAGTTGTGTTGAGCAAACATGTGACTTCCAGAGAATTTCACTGCTTGTTTCTATAAACTATGAGTGAGAAACAAATATAAAATACAGAAAATGTTTTTGTTATCAGCAGTGAGGTTTTTTAGGTTTTACCTAGCAGGTATAGATTATTATAAATACTCAAAGTAAAGTCATGTAACAGAGTGCATGATGTCTTTTTACTACCAGCTGCTGCTGCTCTGGAGAGAAAGTTCAGGCGAGACTCGCTCTTCTGTCCAGATGAGCTGGACTCTCTGTTCTCCTACTTCGACACTGGCTCAGGGCCTCGCAGTAAGTGTTCTACACCAATGAGAGCACAAACAAAGGGTTCTCTTTCACAGTGGACTGTTCTTGTAAATACAGTAATTAAAGCACATGTAGTCCATTAGTAATGCCAAACACAGCTACAGCACATCCCTCTGCCTGTGTGTGAGAACTTGTAATTATTCCCTCAAAGGAGCTGAACGGTATATGCGTTTGTGTTGACTGGAGCTTAACTGCACCACCAGCCTGAGCTGAAATGGAGCTGGGGGTAGTGGTGAATAAAAGCCGTTGAATGGCCAGTGAAGGCCATATTTTGGTCAAATTGATATATTGTATATCCACGCTGTACTTTGAGTCCATTGAGAACATGCTGTGATGCTTGTTTAGGGCAACCTTCTGATTAAAGTCCACAGGTAAAACAGTACTCAGTTTTAAAGCTGTATGTTTGCAAAATACCAAATGTGCACAATTTTTCCTTTACACTAAATATAGTTGATCAGCCAGGACTTACTTGGCATGTAAAGTTTGCTTCTTTTGTTTTTGCTTCTTTTGTCATAGCAGTTATTAAGTAATCTCAAATAGACTTACTAATGTGCTTTCTGACACTGTATGGGTATTTATAAAGCTGTTGGATATCACAGTGCCGATATGAGAAGCGATGAGCCTCAGACTGGATGTGCAAGTACAGACTCTATCTGTGTAAACAGAAATCTAAGTAACCACACCTTTAAACAAATACAAAGTTACAAAAGCATCATTCACTATTGTGCCAAGTGCAGAATAAAAGTAATACTTATATCACAACTGCAAACAGATTTTTGTAGGCTCTAAGTTGAGGCCTTTTCAAACACTCAAACGTGCTTCATTGCTGTCTGTGGAGCACCACGCAGTGTGACTGTAAATCACAGGGATGTTTCCCTTGTTCTCTGTGCCTTTTTATTGGAATTTCATCTATTATTTATTTTTTTATTATATATGTCAGTTTTAAAATGTTCATTGATCGCCTTCCTCTTCTGCGCTTGTATTCATCTATTCGAGAATCAAATGCATTTTTATCAAGTACATTTTTATTTTATATATAATCCTACACTCTTAAAAAAGAAGGTTCTTTAAGGGGGTCTTTAGTAAAGAAAATGGTTCTATAAAAAACCATGAACCCTTTGCATGAGTAAAGGGAACCTTCTATATAGCACCCAAAAGGCTTCCTCTATAGTTACAAGCTTGACATCATAACAATAGAAGAACCCTTTATATTATATATATATATATATATATATATATATATATATATATATATATATATATAATGACGTTTGAAGCATTTTTACAAGTTAGTAGTTCAGGATAGTCTTTTACTCTTTTAGTTGTATATTCTGTAATTGGCTGTTTAGCTAGATGGTTACTTTAGTGGCTTTTTATGCTGGAGATTGTGATTCAGTTTCAAGCCCAGTGTCAGACCCAGTGCAGGGTGCTTGCTGGGCCTCTGATCCTCTGTTCCCTGCAATCTAATTACATCACTCTGGTGCTGCAGGCAATTTAGTTTGTTCTGTCACTGCAGCCTTTAACAATGTATTTTTGGAAACTTGTCATGATTATAAAAGTGTGATCTAACATGCAGCCCTACATAAGAATATAACAGTATAACAGTATACAAATACCCTAAGTAAGCCTATTTGAGATTATTTAACAAATTCAGTGCAGTCAGGGGGAAATTGTAAAAGTTAGATTTTTCACCGAACTATCATTTTAACCTTTGTGGAGATGGTGAAGTGTGCCTGGGCTGCATGTAACGTGTCCGTGTTCGGGCGTTTTTTGGTCCTGCAGGTCTCAGCAGTGACAGTGGTTTGGGCGGCAGCACTGACGGCAGCACTGACGTCCTGCTCTTTGGCTCTGTGGTGGACAGCGTCACAGAGGAGGGTGAGTTATACTGATTCACAGAGAAAAATGTCACAGCTTTAACACACTCAGCTACATTGCCTTCTGCTTTATTTATAAATCCAAATAAATGAACACTAGCCTTGATCAAATGCTTGTTTGACATGAGGACATTTCTTCTGCTAATCTATCATACCTAAACCAACCATGTCTGCGCACAGAGTGTGAGGTGTCGGAGGATTCGAGTGGCGAGGCGGAGCTGGAGCCGGAGGCATCGGATCCGGAGGACTCGCGTGAGCTTCATCCAGGAGCACTGCTCTATAAGGCCTGTCAGGCCCGTAACTTACCCGTCATGGCTGAAGCGCTGGCTCACGGGGCTGACGTTAACTCCGTCAATGAAGAGGATGAGGGCAAGAGCCCCCTCATACAGGCTGTGATTGGAGTGAGTGATTCTACTGATTTGTCCACCGATGTTTGTGCAATTTAACTGCTGAAAGTTTTCTTTTGCTACAAACACCATGTATGTACCTCCCTGCCATTCATGGATTGTAAGAATATATTTTAGGTCTAAATATCATCTCAAAATACATAACATAACACAAAATACATAGAACATAAAACAGTGTCTCAGGCAGAGGCACCTTTAAAAGGGGCATTAAATGCTTCAGACATAACCATTTTATTTACTATTCAAAACCACCAGTGAGCCCACACATGTCTTCTGCGTTTTTATATGTAATATTTATGATGGTAAATACCAGAAAATCTGAAAAAACAAACAAACACGTTTTTAGGGACTATTTTGCCTTACAACTCCATGCATGTACCCCTCCGCTATGAATGGATTAAAATAAACGGATTAACAAAACATTTTAGTTAAAAACTGTTTCTATTAAAGTAGCACTCCGGTGTTTCTACTCAGTGCCCAGCGCGTCTGTAGCGTGCAGTCAGTTACCATTGTCAGTAACTGTGATGTGTTTCCATGTGCATAGAAAAGAACAGAAAACACACTGACTCACTTATATTAGAATCCAGTGGGCAGTTGTTGAATTCCACTAATATCTCAAGAGTATATCCTACTTATAGCATCATGCAAACTGCATGCCTACATCATTGTACACTTGTCTCAGCTAGACTTGCTTATGCGGTTTCCAGCACAAATGTCTACTGACTACTGTAGGAGCAGCCCCCACTTTTTTAAACAGTTTACACAAAGTTAAACAATTTCTGTTTAATTGTATTCATTTTGTACGTCGCTCTATTGCAATACTGCACATTTTTACTCACTGTAACCAGATTTAATTTTGTTGTTTGCTCCAATAGGGCTCTTTGATAGCGTGCGAGTTTTTGCTGCAAAACGGTGCTGACGTCAACCAAAGAGACCTGAGAGGAAGAGGGCCGCTGCACCATGCCACGTATTTAGGACACACGGGGTGTGTAAATATACAAGTTTCCACACACACAGCTTTCTAGTTTAGTACAAACAGCTGAGTGTGCTTTTGGCTCTGTGTTTTACAGGCAGGTCTGTTTGTTCCTGAAACGAGGAGCTACACAGAATGACGGTGATGACGATGGTCAGGATCCTCTCAGCATCGCAGTGCAGGCTGCTAACGCTGACATCGTCACACTGTGAGTGTTGTTGTTTGACTTTGTTTTTAACATAGTCTTTTCAGAACAAGTGCTGTATACTCCAGTGTGGGGATGTAATGAATCATAACTGGGGTATTCCTTACTCTGCATCAAGGAAAGTCAGGGTGAAAACATGGCATCAAAAAAGAAAAGTCACATCAGGCAATATTTTGAGCCTCTAGTGGACTGAAAATCATTTAATGTTTTAATAATTTAATACCCTCTGTTATACTCCAGTTTAATTCCACCAGTTTCTCAAAATATTGCATAATTGTATAGTTGAGATAAACACAGCCATTGAGAGTGGTTTGCTGTGAAAAAACTGCACTGTAGAGAAATGTACTGGCTCAATATTTCTTTCAGTGGTGATAATGGGAACAAGGGGTCGCTGTGTCTTAACAATAATATAAGGTGTTTATTAAATGAACAGTGAAGTTTTCTTTGGAGACTCTTTTGCTTTACAGTGCACTGCATACACCTCTCTGCCATGAATGGCTTTTTAAAAAATGCATTCTAGGCCAAAATCTTTTCACAAAACTCTAACGCAACAATGCATCGATCATCAGGCAGTGTATTTGCAGCCACTGTATTAACTTCCTTTGCTGTAGCTTTTAGAGGCATTAAGAGACATCTGTTTCCTATCAGCACCAATCCTGGCCTTTCTCTCAAACGGAGCATTTCATATCAAACCACTCTGAATGACTTTGTTTATGTCTTATCCGTTTTATTATGCACAATTTGTTGGAATATTTGTCTAATTCCCCTTTTAAATGTGTGTGTATTATGTGCAATAACTACACTGATTTGTTTATGATACATTGAAATCAACCAATTTTGTTTTTCCTCCTCTGCAATTAACTGCATATCCACATTTCTTAATGGTTACAGATACTCAAACATTACAGTTAGTCTGAATGCACATTGAAAGAAATATCTGTTGTAACCTGCCCCCCCCTCTTCTCTCTTGCTCTCTAGACTCCGTTTGGCACGCATGAACGAGGAGATGAGGGAATCAGAGGGTCCGTTTGGTCAGCCAGGTCAATATCCCAGCAGCAGCCCCACAGAACAACAGTACAAGAAATGCATACAGGAGTTCATCTGCCTCAACATAGCTGAGTGCTAGATGCCCCAGTGTAGCATATACTCTGTCTCTCTCCCTCTCTCCTGGTTCCCTGCCTCACACACAGTACAGGGAGCAGATGTTCGCACCAGGCCCAGTGCTGAGGCAGAATGGGAAATTTGCGTTAGAATGCTGTTGCATTTGCATGCAATTTTCCCCTAGAATAACTTACCAAGATGTCATTATTATTTGTTTTACATTGCAGACCGGCTTCTGCTGTAATCAAGCCGAGATTCTGAACATCTCTTACCAGTTCAGCTTCTCTTTCAGTCTGCGAAATGACACTTAGTGTAAAAGGTGCTGCCAATGTATCAGTTTATCAAAGTGTGCTACACATTCCAACACAGAGTCAGATGAAAATGAGGCAAAAACACTGATGACACTACCACTCATTATAAGGTGCTATCAGATCTATAAGTGGAAGTCTGGGAGGTTTTAATCAGTCAGAGTTCTGGGGCCTCAGAAAGTTAGATAAAGTTGTGATACAGCCAATTAAAGACTTAAATAGAGAATTTCCACTCGGTCTGTCTATGACACTATGGGACCAATTGCTCATCCTGCTGCACTCCACACCTTCCTCCCTGTTACTTTCTGTCCTGCCTGTTGTGATGATCTCTAATAATGAGTCACTTAAAGGAGTACTCCAACGTTTTTCAACCTAATCTCTGTCTGCTGCTTCTGCAGTGTACAGTCAGTTGCCACGGACATTAATTTCATGTAAAGAATAGAACAAAGAACAGAACAATAGAACAGAAAAGACTAGAAAGTTTGTCGACTCAAAATGTAATAAAAGACAATGGGCATCTGCAGTTTATTTGGGAAATGTTTATGTGAAGCATTTCTGTAGACTTCTTCAGTTGCAGGTAATCAAAGGTCATTTTAAATAAAATGAAGCTATAAATCTGTGTAACTGGTTCTGATTTGTGGTAATGTGTTATCAGCTTATTGTTGATATGGATACTAGAAAGCCATAGGTAAGATAAAGGCACTACTTTTTAATTGTGTTGCTCCAGTTTTGTAATGGTTTTGATTACCACTATATGGTCACATATTCCAAACGGTTTTTCATAGAATTCAGCAGCTGCCCAGTGGCTTCTATTATAAGTTGTGAGTCAGTGTTTGAAATATTTGTAGGGTTTGGATGTCAAATTTACAAATTTGTAAATTTACTGCTGATTATTTTATTATAGCATATTATTTTAGAGTATTTTTAGTGTGACCTAATTACAGCTAATGTCACCAGCGCTATCCTGTCAGATTTTATTTGCCACTATGTGTGACGATTGTCCAGTTTGGGTCAGTTTTGAACAGAATATTGTTGCGCTTATGTTCGAATTAGTTGTGAACAGAATATTGTTGTACTTTGGGTTCGGGTCAGTTTTGAATAGAACACTTGTCATCGGGTCAGTTTGAGGCTCCAAATTTGATAATGGCTTGGACCAAATTTCTTCATCTTCAGATCTGATTTGAACTCAATATTTGATGAAGTGGCTCTGGTTGGGCTGGGCTCAGATAGACAATTCTCGGGCTGTGCTTGGGTTTGGGCCAAAATTTCAAGCCTGATTAAAGCTCCAGTTTGAAGTCAACAGGTTTTCTGTTCTTTTCTAAATACAAGGAACCATTGAACATACTGGATGGTACAGATGCTGCAGATAAATATTAGCTTGTAAAATGCCAGAACGTTCCTTTAACACTTCTTGTTAATCTGTTTCTTTCCATCGCTCAGTCCAGCAGCGTGTTGCTCTTAGTTACAGTGTCTCTTTTCTAAACCTAGTTACACTTCAGACAGTATTACATTTGAGGCAGCTGTTCTCCATTCGCCTGCATTGTGCTCTAGTGGCATGAGGTAGCTTTTGTACAGTTTGTAAGCAGTGCAATCAGAGATTGGGCCTTGAGGGACTATTCTGCGACATTAAACGCATGAATCTTGGGGGCGTGGGGTGATAAAACTGTGATGTATCAAATATCGTAGACATTAAAAAATACAGTAAAACATCTTTGTTGAGACCTAGTAAGTATTTAAAGAAAAAAAAAGGTGATTATGTAGACCTAAAAAGAACTATTATGCACTTTTTTCATGACGTTTTTGTTTGTTTGTTTATTTTGGATGGTAGCTTGAGAGGAGAAATGCTTTGAACAGGATTTTATTATTAAGTACTGCCCAGAGCGATAGTGCAATGATGATTTGAATACAGATAATCTGTATTTTTTTGTATTGTTTTATCGAAACAGTGAAGATAGTATTTTTTTAACTTGACATAATTTGTTAGATGTTGTCATTTGAAGCACCAAACTCGCACCTGAATGACCTGCTAAATGCATTTCAGCATTGCTAAATATCCAAAGCATCCACAACCCACACAAACAGAAAAATAAGCCAATTTTCAGATGTATAAAAATATTAAAATGCTCAACGAACCGGTGGTTTTTAAAATCATGTATGTAGTGTATGTTCATAGTGTATGTACTGTACGTTTCAGCTGCATATTTCTGGTACTAGGATGTAAAATGATCAGAAACTGATTTTTATTTGTTTATTTATATTGTCTATAGTGCATGGGTTGCTGTTGGCCTGAATTTTCAAAACCCTTTTGCTTTTGTGCTCCACTGTACCTGAATCTGTGTATATGAATATTTGCTCTGTGGTACAGTTCTCCACACGCAGGCTCGAGGGCGAAACTTGAAGATGTTGCTTAGACGAATGAGCCTAGCGCTGTGTCTGTGGTCTCTGGACGGAAACAGCATTTTGCATCATTTATTTCCCTCTAACTGCTTATGAAATTTCACTATTAATGCAGTATACATGGACAGAAATATCCACAGCATGACATCACAAGTGCAGAGGCAGGGTAGATGGCATCAGATGTGGCCTGAGGCCTTGTGAGCAAGAGCTTTATGCTAATGTAGACTGCCCCATAGTTCACATGGCAGTTATGTAATCACCTCAGGTCTGGAAGCAATTCAACCATGGCTTTCCATTGTATGGCCCCTTCTTGCTTACTGTTGTGTCAAACTTGGGGTGGGCGATATAACGGTATTACATTATCACAGTTACGCACCAGTAGACTTTTCTGAGCATATTATGTGTATGATCATCACTCCATAACACTGAGCATTTTTATTAAAAAGATGTTTAGATGTGACTCCAAGGTGTGGTATCTGCACGGGATCCTGACATAATGCCAGGAGGTTGCAGAATCAAATCCCATTGATGTTGTATGAAAAGTGGTAAATGAATTATTGGATTTCTTAATGGGAATTTCATACATTTTTCCAAAAATTGTTGATTATTCAATGGCTGAGATGTAAGAGTGGTTTGATGTGAAATGCTTGATTGTAGAGAATCTTACCAACTCATTTCTTTACAGTGGTGGGAATAGTAACCAAGGATTGGGGCATTTAAAATACAAAATTTGATTATTTTCTTAAATAGTGGTAAAATAGAGGTAAATCTGAAAAACTAAAATGTCTTTAGATACTGTTTTGCTTATAATGGCCTGCATATACCTCTTCACCATAAATGGATTTTAAAAATGTTTTAAATCAACAGTTTGTCTTAAAACTGTTGTAAAACAATAAAGCAATAAAGCATTTTGTCTAGACGTCACACCACCACTGTGAAGAATTCTGACTCAGTGAGTTTCTCTAGAACGGAGCATTTCAAATCAAACTGCTTACTTTGTTTACCTCTTTAATGATGTAATTCTGCAGAAATTTGGAAAAAACAGTGGAATTCTCCATTAAAATAAAGTCAGTGTACTTTTATAGTGCCATTTTTAAACATGCAGTATATGCATTGTATTTGTTCCAACTTATCAAATCAGAAAAGCAAAATATCACGACATACATTGTGTATTGTGATGTTAAATTTTTGCCATATTGCCCACCCCTGCCTCAAACCCCAGATAAAGAAAGATTAGAAATGATATTAGCCAAAAATCCACTATAATCCGTACTCATTTGTGACTTTTAAGGCGTGGTAATCAGAGCCCACAGACACATTTCCAGGCTCAAAGGTCAAATGGAGAGGACATGCTGTATACTCTCCACACCAGATTTGTAACCACTGTTCCTTTAAACTAAGGCTCTGGAAGTTCTTATCAGTAACACAAGGTAAAGAGTGACTTGTTCATGTAGATAACGCTAGTGAGACCGACTAGACTGTTACAGACTAGCTTCGGAAGGTGGGATTTCATAGCTGAAGTTGGTTGGTGTGCCTGTCATTGTCTCTCTGGCCAGTGAACTTTTGTAGCACTTTTGTACGGTTATGCGTGTTATTTTCTATCAGCAAGCTTAGGACTCTTTCCTGTGAGGAGACAAAGACTGCGATTAAAATAAACATGCTAGTCAGTTTTCAGAAAGCCTTGAGAGAAATTGTGAGAAAAACCATCGTGACCAAAAAAAACAAGAAGATTGCATCATTCAACAAAGATTGAGGGTTCTGTACGAACGGGGAAAGTTTGTAGCCTTCTGCTGTAGATAGCTATTAACTGAAGCTAACACTTCTACTGCTTGCTTTTAACTGTACCGCTGACACCGTTCCTGTCCTGTTGATTTTGTGTCTTACTACAATCTTGTAAATTATGTTGGACTATTGTATGAAAACTCGTATCTCTTGAGTATTCTTCTGTGAACTAACCACTGATACCTGTTCTGTTCAGCTCTGTTTCCTTCTGTCCTTTTTTTCTGTTGTCTTCTTAAACACAGAGAAAAAAAAGAATGAAAATAAAAATGTGACTGAACTCGTAACCACTTTCTCTGCTTTGTGCTTTTTTTCCTCACTTTCTCTAACGTTGCTGCATTCATGCGCCTGACTAACAGCATTAACTGTCCATATGAGTTAGCGCAACCGATATAAAAACGCTTAAATTGGTGAACTAAAAAACGTGTTTTAGTTACTGTGCTTTGTAAATTGTTGGCAGTTTAGTACTTCTTAGTACTTAAATCTGTAATTCAATCATTGGGATGTAACCAAAGTCGTTCAGAGTGGTTGAAAGTGAGAGACACTTACAGACACAGATTTCTTTACAGTGATAATAGAAACCAGGGGTTGTGATGTCTACAATGCAAATATAGCCATTTTATTCACTGTCCAAAATGACCAGTGAACCGACACGTGTCTGAGTTTTTATATGTAATGTTAATAAAGGCAAAACAGTGGTAAATATGAAAGAATAAGCTTCTTTGGGGCCTGTTTTGCCTGCATGTAATGCTCCACATTGAAGGGATACACTCTTAAAAATTATGGTTCTTCAAGAGTTCTTTAGTAAAGAAACTGGTTCTATATGGAAACATGAACAAGAACATTTTGCATGATTCAAGGTTTCTTTGCATCATGAAGGGGTTCTTCAGATTGATAGAGAATGTGTTGTAGATGGTATCTATATCGCCACCCAAAAGGGTTCTTCTATTGTTACGATATCAAGCTTGTTACAATAGAAGAACCCTTTTGGATGCTATTTAAAACCCTTTTCAATGTAGAACCAGCTACAGCACATTCTCCATCAATGTGAAGAACCTTTCATGATGCAAAGGGTTCTTTGAGTGTTTCTCATGGATCCCTTGAAGAACCATCTTTTTAAGAATGTATAAAAAGAAATAGATTTTAAACCAAAATCTTATCTCAGACCTATGGCTCACTGCCAACCAATCAGAGCTCCAGAGGAGTTTCTGCCAGTGTTTGAATGACGTAAGGTATTTACATTATCCAACAAGCATAAATAATTTTGGTTAAGAATAATTCAAGCCAAAGGTGATTATGATGTGTGATACATATTTAGACACCATATTGTCCATTCTGACCATATAATGCTCCACACTCTTATATGGTTTCAGTTCACCATCTGCTGCCTTTCAGCACTGACCATTGTCAGATTTTAGAGTTTAATGTTTTTTACATCTTTAACATTTAATAACTGCACAACTAGGACCTGACCTGTGTGAAAAGTCTGTGGCTGATAGGGACGCCAATTTTAAAAGGCTAAAAATGCCAGAAACCGATGATGTTGGCCAATATAGCTTTGTTTCTACTTTAGATTTTATTTTATACTCCAGTAGTTTTAGTTAAACTGTGCTTTACTAAGTGATATGATTATCAATTCTCAACTGTCACACAAAAAGTACATAAACATTATAGCACTGTTTTGGTTGATGTAAATAGACCTCTGAAGTTGTCTTGTTGTTCTGTAGTTGGTGTCATGCACATATGAGGGCCCCTATGACAAGTTGACATTGTAAATCTAGCAAATTCAAAATACCCCATGCAAACCAGCAAGCTTTGTCAAAGGTGTTACGTTGCTGTGGCAACACTAGTCTACACTTTGCTTACCTGGCATTATTTTAGAACAGAACTGAAGTTGAATAGTCTTTCTTTCATGCAGTGTTATTTCAGTAGGCAGGAGCAGTAGCCTGCTTGTGTGTAGCATTATACATACTTCAACTGCTAAATGGCCTCATAATTCTCAGGGTCCAGTGACACTTGGTTAAACATTTAAACGTATCAGGTTTAGAACATTTTTGTTTACCACAGGGCGCAACTTTTCGAAAACAACATTCATTTTTCTCACAGAGAAAAGACCTGGAGCTCCTAATATGGGTATGATGCTGACTACAGAATGATGCACAACTTCAAGGATCTATTACTTTACTCTTATTTGCTTGTTTTTCATTAGCTATCTTAATTGTGTTATAAGATTCCACAAAAAGCCACTAATTACCAATGGTGTTTTCACTGACAGCACTAAAACCACAGGTTGACCATATCAGCCAACTGATATATCGGTCAGGCCCTGGCAGCCGCAATGCAACACTACGGCTACCTACTTTTTCAGTACCATTTACACGACTGGAAATCAGCTTGCAGAAATAAAAGCCGTACGTTGGTACACAGCACAGTTTGCAAATTTCCTAATTCCTTCCGGCGTCCTGCGGTAGAACCCCGGTCTGCTAGTGTACTCACTGTCTTACTTTGAAATAGATTTGCCGTCCTGTGCTCAGAGTTATTGCGCTAGCCTGGCTCAAACAGTCTGCACTGGCTGGTTCCTGAAGCCTGAGAAAAGCACACAGGCCAGCAAAAAGTTCAGCTCCATTATTTCCTTCCTGGGCAACCACAATGTGAGACACGAAGATCTAGTGAATGGAGGTGTCATGGAGCTTAACGCTGGGCTTTTATACACTCTGCTACTGTGTTGTCTCAAAGCATGACCTCATGTTTCAAGGCAAATTGTGCATTAGCTGAACATAAAATGCACTGTTATAGTTAACATAGACACTGTTATAGTTAACATAGACACTGTTATATTATGTTTATAAAAATAAACCACACCCAGAAGGTATTTTCTTTTTTTCAGTATTTCAGAAACATGAAATATTCATATTTTACAGCTTACTAGAAATTATTTAAAACCTACTTTTAGAGTTCTGGAGGACTAGCATCATATAATCATTTCATGCATGTCACTACAACAAATTTCGTTTTATGTATGTTGGTCAATGAATTGTATACAACATATTTGCAGACAATTGACAAAGAAAAAGCCACCAGAAAGTGTCTTAGTAAGGTGTTGGGCCATAAGAACAGCTTCAGTACACCTTGGGATAGATTTGGCATGTCTCTGGAACTGTACTGGAGGGAAGGATCGATGTTCTTCCAAAAAATATTTCCTCAATTTATGTTTTGATGAAGGTGGTAAAGAGACGTGTCTTAACACATCAGTGCAATATCCCATATAGGTGTTCAGCTTGGTTGAGATTTGGTGACTGCAAAGGCTACATCATATGATTTCTAGCATTTTGTTGGTAGGAGGGATGATGCAGAAGGTTGTGGGTTCAAATCCCACAAGTTGTGGTACTCCCAGACTGAGCATAGTTAGGCAGCAATTAGAAAGATTTCCCTTGTAAGATCGATAAAAAAACATAATATCTTCATATTCATTAAACCATTCAGTGATCCCTCATGCCCTGTGGAGGGGGGGGTACTGTCATTCTGAAAGAAACCACTTCCATCAGAATAATAGTGTTTCATCATAGCATAAACGTCCGTCAGAATAACCGGACCCTTCTCACTGTAGGGTTCAGGCATTCAGGGCTGTGCTGTTCTCTTGGTGTACACTGCATATGCACTATGGTTACAGATAGCTCATCTGACCAGATCACTGTTTTCTACATCTTTGCAATCAGCATCTGATGAACTCTCAGTGTGCAGCCCCACTATATGTAGTTGTGGACGGACTGTTCTTGTTGACACAGTGTGATCATAGCCTGTACTGACATTCTCTGTCACCTGAGGAACAGATGCTGTTTTTCCTTACATATTGCTCTAATTTACGAGCATCACAGTCACAGAATGTGTGCCAATATATTTACTGATGTCTTTCACACAGATCTAAATGCAGATTATGCTTTAGTCTCCTTAGTCACCTGTTGAAACACTAGCCGCGAGCCACTGTCTCTAAAATTGAGGTCTGCTGGTCCTGCCCAGCATTTTTATACATGCCACTGAACAGAGCGTGGTAGGATGTTACCTTAATTGTTTCATGCAGTACACCTGTCTGGTGCACTCATTGTGTTTCTCTACTTGTTTATTCAGGAGTTTCTGTTAAACATCCCTCTGTACATAGTTCATGTACAGAAATATCAACCACCAGTTTTTTGTGCTTTAACACTTCATTATCTAAGGAGAGACACAGAATTGTGTTTATAGTCATATGTAAATGTTTGGGCGCACTTTGTCCAGTTTAGTAAGTAAAAATAACGTCCTCTGCAGGGAACAAACTTAAATATAAAAATGTTTTGCACAATTTCTATTTATTTGCTAAAAGGTCAAATATAAAATGTTCCATAACTGTTCATGGGCCACATTTAATGTTTTCCTTTTTTCCATTATATTAAATTCAACTAATATCATGTAATTGTGAAAAATGTAGAGGATATGTGCTTATTTTCACTTCAACAAAACATATAATTTGACCAGGGGGTGCCCAAAATTTTAAACCTGTCATTGTGTTCCTTCCTGTTTCAGGCGACACCACTTACCTAGACATCTTCCGCGAGTTTTCCCACATGGCATCCCACAACCCCGAGAAGCTGAAGCGGAGAAGCATTCACTTCCGCCACTCATTCAGGTATTTACACCCTGCTGAAAAACCATTAAGTGTTTTTTTGGTTTCTGACTGTTTGTAATGTGTTTTGCCTTTTTTGATGGCTTTATATATAATGGTGTTAAGGATCCTAATGATTTAACTGGTCACTAGTGGCTGTTTCCAAATGCATTTGATGGTTTCCTAAACGGATCTAAAAGTATTCTACAGGAAGCTTTGGGTCTCTATTGGAAACCATGGTCACACTTTATTTGGATGGTCCCCTATAGATGCTCTACACATACTTAAACCATTAACAAACCTTCTGGTGATGTTCAGTTGATTATCAACAACATTTATGGACAGGGTTACAGTTAGGATTAGATGTAGATTTTGCCTTGAGGTTCAGTTTAGATTTAGGGTTGGATAGATAGGGATATATTTAATAAACTCTTTCACACTGAACTTGGAAGTTCAGTTGCATTTAATGGGTATTTAGTTAAAGGCTACTTGTAGACAGAATGAGCATTTCCAAAGTATCTACAGTGGACCATTCAAATAAAGTGTTACTGAAACCATTAAGCCAAATCTAATGGTCATTTTCAGCAGGGCAGCACGTCCTGCTACCTGCTGCCATTTCTGCCGGGCACTGCTGAGGCTTCATAACTCATTTTTCCTTCTGTTTCTTTTTATGCAGAGTTTGACAGATGGACTCCTGTGGATGTGGAAACTAAAGAGATTCAACTAATTGCTGTTTCACAGGATAGAATGTTTACAGTTGTTTGGACAGAGATTTTCTGTTTGCAGTGCAGTGCGTCTATATGCTTACGATTAACTCCAGACTGATTGGCCTCTTGAGAGATTATAGAGCTCTGTAGGCAGAGTAGTCTTACATTTCCCAGCAAACATGCTGAAGTACACATTCATGGCTGTGATAAATGGTTGCATGCAAAAGTTTGCATGTTTTGTTAATTTACTAAGCGAAAATAAGTAACATTCTCTACAGGGAGCATTTTTCTGCAAATTTTAGTGCACAATTTCTGTTTATTTGCTGATTTAGAAAAAGAAAATTACATAATATATAATATGTGCCTTATCTTAAGGCCATTTTATTTTTTGCCAATATGTTAAAGCTACACTATGTAAGATTTGGGGATTTGGAGACCTCTCTGGTGGAAATGTGTAATGGGCTGCCACAGGCGGAAGAACACTTTGTAACATGGGTTGTGCTTCGGACCCCTTCCCCAGCTGATGAGTCGAATGATTACGAGCGTGTTGAAAAAGCATTTGAAGAGAACTCAAAACTTGGTGAAGGACGGGTCTTCTGAGGATGTAGGAGTCAGTATAATGTTTAATTTGTAATTGAGACCTAAACACTGAAACACTGAAGACCTTCTTTTTGAGGCTGTATGTGATGTTAATACATAAAGACGTATAAAGTGGTCTGAAAAAACGTCTGCAAAATCTGACCAGCGCCTCTGACTTTTTGTTTTGAATTGTTATTTCAGGCTTTACAGGGTGTCTTGCAGAAGTGCGAGCACATCATATTTTAGAGTGTATTTTTTCCATCTTGATTTATTCATTTTACTCCTTTCAATTTTAACAAAAATCTTACATAGTGCAACTTAAAAGGAACACTACAATGAAAAATTACGCTTGTCCAGTTCTCTGCTTAGCCCAGATGTAATCGATCAACTGAGACATGTTTGGAGTCCAGATTTAATCTCTTTAGTTTAGGACTGGAGCTACAAGGCTAACGTTGCTAACAAACATTAGAAGTCAGTAGTCACCCAAATAGCCCAAATTGTTTCTGTAAAATATGTCACCAAAACCTCTCAAACCACATCCAGGTCTTGATCAAGGTTGCACAGACTTGCCAGTGTGATTCAGAGCACAGCATGACTTACTGAGAGCCGTAAAAACCAAACATTGCAGTTATTTTAGACAACATCAAGGCTGGTATTCACATAGTAGGACTGATCTTGGATCAGATTCCTCTGCATTTATGACTATCATTGTCATAAATACTGATTCTAGATCATGCCTACTCCCTAATAAAGACCTGCAAGCGGTTTGGGCAGATTGAAAGAGGTTTTAGTGATGTATTTTTACAGAAACAGTTTTAGCTATTTGGGTGACTATTGACTTCTAGTGTTTGTTAGCAATATTAGCCTCCAATTCTAAACTAAAGAAGCAGAATTTGGACTCAAAACATGTTTCGGCCGATCAGCTACATCTGGGATAAGGTGAAAACTGTGTAAATTAGATTTATTTATTTATTTTCACTTAGAAAACCAGCAAAATATGTAATTTGACCATGACTTTTATACACAACCATATGTGAAGCTATGTAGACATAAACTGTGCTTTCGTTTTGAATGTTTAAAATGGTTTGAAGGAATGTTTGTACAGCTTTTATGGCTTTATGGGGATCAGCTGGACTTATCCTCTATGTTTCTTTTAGTTTTGCCTATATTATCTCACTTTATTTTTTGCATTTAATATCTTTTAGAGTTTAGCCACTTGGAGAGAATAACACTTCAGGAGTTTACAGCTGCATGTCTGTAAAATGTTTATGACAGCATCTTATCTTTTTCTCAATACCGTTATCATCTTTTCTTACAGATCATACACCATTATTGATTTCTTTGTGTTTTATTAGACAGTGATGGCAGTAAATCCCAATTTCTCAGTATTTGGGAAATTTTACTTCAAATCTGTTTCTGTAAACTGTTCAGTTTAAGTGTAGAATGTGTTGTTGAATGATGACTATGCTGGTGTAGTCTTACATTTGCTTTATGGTAATTCTGTACTGTGTTACCATAAGATATTGTACGTGTACAGTACTTTTTAGATGCAAAATGCTAATATATCATGAAATGGTGGTATTTTGTAACAAAAAGTTGAAATAAAGTAGAGAATGCCTCTCTCTGCGTGTTTTTGGTTTGTTGCTTTATGCTTGTTTTCTTATTAAGGGGGATTTCTACATAATTCGGACGGTACGTTCTAGAGAAACTTACCCTCTCAGATTTCTTTACAGTGGTGGTGATAGGAACCAGGAGTCATTTTGTCTACAAAGCATACTTGCATATTTTTCAGCCATCGCATTCATACTAACAACCTCTTCTTTTACCTCAAACCAAAGTAACTCTGGGTAGTTTTGAACTGTGCAGACCAGTGGATTAAACTGAAGACACTCTCATGTTTGCGGAACCACTCTGAGGAGATAAGTGCAAATTATCCTGAAAGTGTCCAGTCGAAAAAAGAACAGAGATGCAGATGGTCACCACAAATGATTAAACTTCATATTCTGTTTTTTATTAGCAATGAATGGGTACTGCATTATATTGCTATAATCCTTTAAAAAAGGAAAAAATATGAATATGTTTTTTCTTTCTTCCATTAATTTTTGCGGTTAAAGTTACACTATATACATTTTGGGGATTTGGAGACCTCTCTGGTGCAAATATGTAATTGCAGGCAATGAGCGGAAGAACATTTTGTAAAGTAAGTTGTGCCTTGGACCCCTGCAAGTGGATGAATCTGACTTTTGTGAGTGCATTGAAAGAGTATTCAAAGAGAACTCAGTCAAAACTTGGTAAAGGACGTGTCTTCGAGGATGTAAGTGAATTATCTACTATTGTCATCATATCTTCATCAGTATAATGTATATTTTGCATTTAAGACCTAAACATTAAACCAGACCTTCTTTTTGCACCAGTGCAAGTGATATGGGGCAGTCATGGGCTGGAGGTTAGGGACCCAGCCTTGTGACCAGAAGGTCGCCGGTTTGATCGCCTTGGCTGACAGTACATGACTGAAGTGCCCTTGAGCAAGGCACCTAACCACCAACTGCTCCCCGGGCGCCGTGGATAGGGCTGCCCACCGCTCCGGGCAAGTGTGCTCACTGCCCCCTAGTGTGTGTGTGTTCACTAGTGTGTATGTGGTGTTTCGCTGCACGGATGGGTTAAATGCGGAGGTCTAATTCCGATGTGTTCAGACACAGTTGGTTAAAAGGTTCATTTCATTAATATATAAAGACTTATGATGTGGTCTGATACACTCAAGATCCACAGAAAACAGGAAAATAGATAAACAAAACAGGTCTGCGAAATGATGAGCCTAATAAGTAGGCTATGACAATGACTAATACCTTAATCTTAATGTTAACATAGGATCAATGTTAGTAGAATATTTCAATAATATTAGTGCTGTCCAACTGATGAACTTTGAAATACTGGGATGCAGCCCATAGTGCTAATAGCTTATAGCAACAATTACTCTTTCATGTCCAAAAACTAAATTAAAATAAGGAAAAATGGCTCAGTTGAGGACATTTTGATTTTTTTTTTTTTCATTTCTTCTTAATTTTTTTAATCACTTTTACATGTATTTTTCATATGTTTACTCATGGTCAAATTTCTTTTTGTCTTGTTAAGATTAATAGTCCCAAGTGACCAAAAGACTAAATTTAATACAAAAATCATGTGATAAAACTTTGAAGGAGTTCTTCAGATTTGTGCTTAGACAAGCTATGAAAACAAATGTCATGTTGGATATTGACATGAATGAGGTCATTAATACATTTTTAATTGTCCAATTCTCAATTCTAATTCTGAGAAAATTGATAAATGGTCAAAATAAGTCGGGTACTATCAAAACTAAGGCTGCATCCAAAACCACATACTACTGTGCTAAATAGTAGGTCAAAAATAGTACACCACCAATAGACCTCCATTCATTAGCATAGTATGTGTAGTGTAGTAGTACGGGGTTTTGAACGCAGCTTAAAGGAGATATTTTCAAAATGTTTGCATAATTCTGTTGTTGACGTGTAAACAAAGTCATTCAGAGTGGTTTGATGAAAAATGCTTCATTGTAGAGAATCTTACTGACTACTGATTTCTTTACAGTGGTGGTGACAGGAACCAGGGGTTGTGATATCTACAACACAAGTACAGCTATTTTATTTACTGTCCAAAACTGCCAGTTAACCTACACGTGTCTTCTGTGTTTAATGTAATGTTTATGATGATAAAAGTATGTTCTCTAGGGACTATTTTGCCAACTCATTGCATGTACCCCTCTGCAATGAATGGACAAAATAAATGGATTAACGAGACGTTTTAAGCCTAAGCTTTATCATAAAACTATCATAAAACAATATCTCAGACATCAGGCAGAGGATTTACAACCATCTTGTGCAATGACTTTTCTGTGAGGTAGCTTTCAGAGGCATTAAACTCTTCAGACGTCTGGTTCCTATCACCGCCACTGATACCAAACCACTCTGTATCACTTTTTTTTTACATCTTAGCTGTTTAATGATGTGGAAATTTTGACAAAAACAGTGGGGTTCCCCTTTAATAAATCGTCGTACTTTTATTTTGAAGAGGCGCTAATGCGAAACACCGTAACAAACTTTTATTTTCGTTTAGCGTCATCACTTCCTTGTTGTGTGGGGGCCATATTGGAATGGGGCATAGATGACAATTTCTCTGAGCTGGAAGCTTAAATTTGTGTTGCCTTTGTAAATTTATTTCGGTCGTTTTCAGTCGAAAGTAAAGTAACGCCGCGACATCACACGGTTCGGCCCCGGTTCGTTTCTTTATCGGCTGTTAAAGAGGTAAGAGTCCGCCGCGCTGCCGCTCGTGTTGAGTGGCTCTTGTTCGGCAGGCAGTAAATCCTCCACCGTTCGTTCGCCAGCCTGTCCGTTTATACACAGTCGGGGTTTATTCGCTGTGGGCGGCTGTTTACTTTGTGCTCTCTGTCTGTTTAGCGTTCACTGAGTGTGGCTCGCTTTGTATTACAGCGCTGTATTCAACCTTTTGGCCGAGTGAGCTCGCCTGGCTGCTGACAGACTGACTGGTCAACAACAACAAGACGAAGCTGAAGTTGGCTTCTTGTTCATATTTCCCCGTCCCACCTTAAATGGTGCAGCAGTTATAGCGCTAAATAACAGTTACATAGCAGTACAGTACATACATAACAGCTAAATCCCGGTTACAGTGTAAATAACAGACCTTTATAACACTCCCTCTTTTAGCTGACCAACTTCACCAGCTAATGTCAAGTTAACAATAGCTAAGGTGATCTTGTGTAGTAACTTAAGTAGGTGTGTCGTGTCAAATGGAAAGTCTGACATTTCACTTTCTTCTTTCTCTCCGGTCTCATCTTTAAATGACGTTCTCTAATTCAATGTCAAAAGAAGGGAACTAAGAGAAAGTGCAGTTCCTTTAAACGGTTACAAATAACTGTCAAACCAGGGCTTAGAGTTACTTTAAAATGTGTTCCTGCACTGTTAACTAACTGTTAACTAATGGAAACAGTAACCTAATCCAAGTAATCATTATATTACAGTAACGTAATCTGATTAACACGAGGCAAACAGGAACACTGCACTGTTTTATGAAACCAAATATACATTATAGGTGACATAATTGCCTTTTCTTCATGTGTGCTGGGGATGTACAATGATATCAGATCAGATAATAAATATTGGTATCGAACAGAATTTAGGTTAAACTAATATTTCAGACCAGTATTTAATGATTTATTGTACTCAGGAGGAGCGTGATGTTTAAGTGACACTGGACTGCATTGAAATGTCAGTATTTTATTTAGGATATAATTTTACTGCATTTGTGACTCTATAGAAATGTGTTATATTTACACAGTACTTACATGAACATTATTGGATACTGGCATCAGTTCCCATATCAGCGCATCTCTACTTCTGCTTAAAAATGTAATGAAATATTTTGATAAGTTGATACGTTTTTAAAAAAAAATATAATCATAATTTTTCTTTTGTGTATCCTGATTATGTAAATGCCCGTTATAAGTATTTTGTTACTACCAAAGTCTGTATTCACCTTTTTTTATTTATTGACGTTCAGGTACTGGTCTTTTCTCAGTGCTTCTGAATGGCACTCTTGTTGTTATAATAGCTGGCTTTATAACGAGTAATCTGTAGCCCATCTTTGAGTAACTGTGTCTTTTGTTGTTCTTTTTCAGATGAGCAGCAACATAAACAAGAGGGCACCAACAACAGCAACACAAAGATTAAAGCAGGACTATCTGCGCATAAAGAAAGACCCGGTCCCATACATATGTGCAGAACCTCTCCCCTCAAACATTTTGGAGTGGTAAAGCTTTATGTTTTTCTGTTCAGCATTTGGTAAACTGGTATTTTGTGCTGTTTGTTCTCTCTCTGTTATTATGTTATAACATTCTGGCACTTTTCTTTTCAATTCAGGCACTATCTTGTCCGTGGTCCTGAGAAAACTCCTTACGAAGGTTATTTTTATATTTCTGTATTTCCCCAATGCACTTTTTGTGCTCTACATCAGTTCCATTCATTGTGCTGTTGTTATCTTTTATCTACTGTGTTTTTTTTTTAATCTGTCTACAGGGGGTTATTATCATGGCAAGCTTATATTCCCCAGAGAATTCCCTTTCAAACCACCAAGCATATACATGATAACGCCCAATGGCAGATTTAAATGTAATACAAGGTAAGAAAATGTTTGCATTTGCAGCCGACATTCTCAACATTCTCACAACTGTCAGTCACATACAGCACTGCCGAATTAATAAAATGCTGCTATCATTACTAATCAGACACCTTTATGGACAATCCACACCATGTAGTTGTGCTGATATTTTTTAAGACATTAGACAGTCTGATTAGTCATTATAAATATGAATGTACTTGCTAAGACATGTCTTTGTTTTTCAGATTATGTCTCTCCATCACTGATTTTCACCCTGACACCTGGAACCCAGCATGGTCAGTGTCCACCATCCTGACTGGTCTCTTGAGCTTCATGGTAGAAAAAGGCCCCACCCTCGGCAGCATTGAGACCTCCGATTTCACAGTGCGTATGAAACTAGTAATTATTGCATCATTTGGGCACCTCGAGTTTTCTGCTAAACTTGAAATGCACAAATACACTACTTTATTTTATCTGTCCTACAAAGCACTTACATTTCCAGTAAAATGCTTTTGTACATATGTGGATGCAAATTTTTTTTTAAAGTTTAAACATTTTTGAAACATGTCGTCCACAGAAAAGACAGCTTGCTTCGCAGAGTCTAGCCTTCAACATTAAGGACAAAGTGTTCTGTGAGCTGTTTCCAGATGTTGTTGATGTAAGTATAATTCAGGGGCTGAATGATGTGAACAGTCAGCATTGTCCCCAGATAGTAAAATGAATTACTGAGCAGTTTCGGCCACAGCTCAACCACACAGCTATTGTTCAGCTCTGATATAGCAAAATCAAAATGCAAACCTCCAGTCCTCCTGGCGAAGCAGTTTTTTGCGTATGACGACACAGACGATGACTTAGGAGTTAATTTACAAGCTCTTAATTGAATTTACAGAATTTTCCTGTGATTCCCAATGTAGTCAATCCAAAGCATTTTTGGTGTCTAGAGTTTGCATTAGTTACCAGTAAAAAAAAATCTAATCACAAATGTTCTACAGGCTCCGTCACGAAGGTAATGTTTAAACGGCTGCATCAGACCTCAACTTAGTTGAGCTGTACTAGTTCATGTAGGCTACTTAGCTAGCTAATGAGTTGTTTTAGTGAAAACCAAGTTCAGTACTATAAAGAAGCGACAACATTGCAGTGTTCAACCATTCGACATAGACATTTGTGCTTCATGCAGACCTGTTGAAATTGTTACATGAGCACGTGAATGCAATTATTTGTGCTAATCTCAATTATTTTAACGGACTGCAGTTATTTTCCACAATGATATGTATGTCACAACAAACAGAATGTGAATTGAGTGTGTTTTTCTATCCCTTAGATTGATAGAATAAATAAAACAAAGCAGATAATTTTATTGAGACCAGTCCTACAAAAGCAGAAGTTCTGACTTCTGTATAGAGCTGTAACACATTTAGAGGCAGCGGCGAGTGATGTTTGTTTATTTTAGCTCAAACTGTTTCTGTTGTCAGTCGGAAGCTAATAAGTTTCGACAGCTAAGAAGCAAGACAGCTAATCAACCGATTTGGACACTTCAGGCTGCGTACAAAGAGATAATTATAAAGACAATTAAATTGTTAATCACAGTTATTTATATGAAAATTAATTCAGCTAAAATTTAATGATCATTAGCAGCCTAGCTTAGTGCTGTAAAAGGTAGGACTGTTTAATTAGCCTTTACCTGTTGTGATATGCTGTCGGCTGTTATAGTAACTAATTTTCGCCAGTTATGTCAGTGTTGTGTTTCAGTCTAATTATGGAAATAAGTGGGTAATTTTATAATGATTTAGCTACAATGAAGTGGATTAGTTGGTGGTTGTCATCTTCACTATAGTGATGTCTTTGGATCTTAATGCTTGCTAGCTGGCCCCTCAAACTATAATCAGGCCTGCCTTAACATGAAATTCTGGGTACACCACTATCATACAGTGTCAGAAACCACCTAAGCCAAGGTATTTGAGATCACTTGAAAATTTGGCTCTGTTTGAGGTAAATGTGTTATTGGTTCGATTAAAACAAACCCTGGTGAAATTGATTCATTAATGCAGTCTTAGAGCAAGTGAGAAAGCTGCCATCCGAACACACCAAATAAGGTTACTACATCCTACATTTAGGGTAAGAGCAGTAAGAGCAGTGTCTGAGCATGGAAAACAGTAAACTGTTGTCCAAGAAGCCTGTAGTACTCTCTTCTCCTTTACCCCTTGTGATACAGGAGATCAAGCAGAAGCAGCGCGTGCAGGAGGAGCTGAGCTCGCGTTCTCAGGCCCTTCCTCTCCCTGACGTGGTGCCGGATGGAGACACCCCCCACCACGCACAGAACGGTCACCCAGGCCTGAATGGGCACCTGCCCCCGGGGGCAGCCCATCAGCCCCCTGACCTCCAGCAGGTCAACCGTAACCACGGACTCCTGGGAGGAGCACTCGCTAACCTGTTCGTCATCGTCGGCTTCGCCGCTTTCGCCTACACAGTCAAATATGTGCTGCGGAGCATTGCACAGGAATGAACAAAGAATCCCCACCTCCCCCCAAATAAAGTAAAAATCTGAAGATGGAGCAAAGATGGAGGGAAGGACAGAGGACTGGACCTGCTGTCACGACCAAAATGAGGAGGTAGTTTCTTGTTTTGCCCAAATCAAACCCAAACAAGTACACATGGCTATTGGATCGAGTAAGTAGCCAAGCAAATGAAATCGAAAGCCATGTGACCCCCTCCTGTACATCTGTAAAGAGAGTCAAGCAGTCGCTGTATGGAAGGTCCCCTCAAAGCCAAGTCCCAGTGTACTTGGAGGTAAAGAAATGCAAGTACAAGACTTCTGTTTATGTCCAACCCTCCATTATAAATGGACATGGTTGTGTTTTTTGAGTTCCAGGAATACTTCAGTGTTGTTCAGCCTAATCTCTGTGTGCCACATCTGTAGCATAAGGTCACTTACCATGAACAATAAACAGAAAATCTGTTGACTCTAAATATACATACAGTTGTATGCAGAAGTTTGGGCACCTCTGGTCAAATTAAATCAACTTAGTTGATTTTCTAAGTGAAGAAAAGTGAACACTTCCTCAACAGAGAACACACTTCTGCACATTTTAATGTACAGTCACTGTTTATTTGCTGCGTTTACATGCGCTCAATAAACCGATCATAATCTAATTTCTGCAGTTATCCAATTATTCAAATGGTCATGGAAACACCATATTCCAATCTAGAAATCCGATTAAGAAATTTGATAAAAAGAGCTGGATTTTAGCTCAGTAATCAGATTTCTCAGGAAAAAAAAAAGTTTTAGATCACGTTTACATCACGTCTTCTTCTGTGAGTTTATTGGCTGGTTGTAAAGCAGAAATCCGATTAATGTTTCTCTCTGACTCATGTAGAGAGTTTTCACATGATCTGATTACTCCAGTGCATATAAACTCGTTGATCGGATTACTGACAATATCTGATTTTTTGCAGTTATCAGATTATTAAGTGCATGTTAACACACTCATTGTGGTTTTATAGTATGTCTTTTTTAATATGTTAAACTCAGCAAGAAAATAGAAATTGTACACTAAAATTAGCAGAACAGTGGCGTATTAAAGATACTTATTTTCACCAACAAAACATGTAATTTCACCAGGGCTGAACTAATTTCTGCATTGGACTGTATATTAGAACCCCAAAGGATGATGTCCTGCCCATCAGCTGCATTTCAAGCGAACAGGTTTTCTGTTCTTTTTGCAAAGCACAGGGAAACCCATCAAAATGACTGTCTGTGGTTACCGACCATTTGATGCGGACGCAGCAGATCGAGATTAGGTAAAGAACACTGGCGTATTCCAACCTGTGGCCATGATATGGATCCAAACAGGCGGTTGAACACCACCCCTTGTTCGGCGCATCATCTGTTGGTGAAATTTCAGTAAGATGTCACAAGACGATTGAAAAATTCTGAGTGAAGGAAAAAGTGAGATTAATAGGTGTGGAGATCATTCCCAAAGTTTAGCTCCAAAATGCTTTCATCGTTCTTCATCGTCGTGATCAGTACAACTGCAATATTTTACAGTTTATCTTAATGAGAGTGGATAGATTATAAACATGCTCTACCTTTCTGAAGGTTTTATAGATGCTTCTGCTCCCTGCTCATGATGGCTTAAGCAGGCTGCAGCTGATATGAAATATGACCTTGTCAATAATAAATCTGATGCACATAATGGTCCCCAACGTAGGATTCAAAGCGTCACCAAACTAGTATCAGATTTGCCCGTTAGGAAGAGAAGTTCAAATATAACTGTTCTGTCTGTCCTTATGGCTGCATAGATGTGATCCACAAATTGGAACATAGACCGTCACTCATTTCTGGTACTAGAGCAACCAGTCAGGCTCTGCTTTATTCCAAAATGTAATTCTTGGTAGCTGGATTTGAGATCTTTCAGGCATCTCTCTTGTCAATATTTTCATATATGGATTCTATTAGACCATCCAACACTATGATTTATTCTACTGTATGTGTATTTGTGGGATGTTCACTACTACCTACGCTTTTACAGCACAGCACACATCAACAGACACAAAACTTTTTTTTGTTTGTTTTGTTTTGTTTTTTTTTTGGCTTTTCAAGGGTTGTGACTTGTGCAATATTCTTCAACAGATTTAAATAAATGTTCATTTGATTCTCTTCCTAGACATAAACTCTTTATTATTCATTTAATTTCGGGAAATCACTTCTGTAGTTCCTGGATTATCATGAAAGTTTCATTTTCTGGACCTGAAAGCACTGAGCAGCTTTTCACCCTGACCACGATGACCTTAAAGGAATACCACCAGCATTTTTCAGCCTAATCTGTATTTGCATGCTCTATAGCATACAGATGATTTCCACATACAGTAATTTTGACATTAGGCCAGTCAGAATTCTTGCCTAATCACCTGAACGCAATTATTTGAGTTATTATTTGCAGGTGTTTTCCGAAGTAGTTCGCTTTCACAATCAACTGTTTATGTTGCAATAAACTGAATGTGAATTGGGTGTGATTTTCTCAGTTGGGTTGAGGCAAATACATGTAAATAACAGCAGAAAAAGCATTTATTGAGATACATTATGAGTATAATGAAAATGAAAGTTGACAACACATCTGTCTAGTGCTATACCACGTTTAGAGGGCAGCAGCGAGTAATGTTTGCTTATTTGATGCTTGTTAATAACTCCATTAGAGGACAGCAGCAAGTAATGTTTGTTTGTTTGAGCTTGAACTGTTGGGAGGTGTTATAAATATTGACTGGTAGGAAGCAAGATAGCTAATCAACCAATTTGACCACTTCGGACTTGTTTAATATTTGTGTATATAAGTTTCACAATCGTGACAGACCTATTGGACACTGTTCCCTGTTCTTGGTAAAAGAGCTTGACCCAAAACACTTATAAGGCAGCACATGCTGAAGTACCAGCCCATTGGCTTATAAGAGCGTTTAGATCAGTTTCTATTCTCTTGTAAGTACAGGGAATTTTTTTCTCTGTGATAATCAACTGTTTGCTGCAGATCAGGCTGAAAAGTATTCCTTTAAGTTAGCTTGAATAAACATGTGACAGAAAAGACATGACAAATTAGCCTAGTGCATTAGCTAGTCCAGATCAGGGGCTAGTTTCCCTGCCAAGGATTAAGCATGGTCATGGACCATATTTTCCTTTTAACAGAACAGCTCCATTCAGAATTCTGTGTAGTCCAGGACTGTGCTTAATCCCTACCCGGGAAACCTGCCCCACAGGTCCAAAAGTATTCCGGTGCGTCATTCATTGGCTAACACATTCATATCTGCCCATACAAGCTCGAAGGAAATTGCTAATGACTTGGTACAGGTGTGTTCAGGCCACTTGACGCATTTTCACCAAACGTTTTTTTTTCCAGGCCTGTATTTGGGTCTTTTGCGACTCCATGAACACTATGGAATAATAATGATTCCCAAGGAGGGATGTGTAATCGAAAAAGAATCATGTTTTGTTTACAGTTGGAATAAATACCATTCTGATAAATAACACATTTGATCATGTGAACAGTTTTATTCATTACAGTCACTCAGAAAATGTACTTAATGCAGTACATTGGAATGGCCTTTTACAAGCTGTCATCATAAAAAGGTAGTTTTAAGTACTGGAACCAGTGCTTCACCTTACGTGGCGGAAGCTGCAGCACGTTCTTAGCGAGGAACAGCAGAGCATCCTGCATAGCTGGACGGAGCAGTTGATTGGCAGGCAGAGAGAGAACAAGGAGGCAAAACCTCTCCTGTGTTCCAAAGAGAATCCAAACAATGTCCAAAGTTTCACAAGCCATGTTGTAGCATTATTAAGGGGGCATTCTAGCATAAAACTAGAGTTTAGTAAGTTATTGTTTTGTTATGTGTAGCACAGCAATGTATCCCTCAGCCTCATCAGTTTGACAGAATCTACAGTTTTACATAGTTTAATGTTCTCATTCACACAAATACATCATGCAACGATGGGGATCCCTGTGATGTCACCCAATCCTGACTGCTGGCCCCATTTTATAGGCTAATAAATGCAACTAACCTACCATTAGTGTAACTCTGACCTTGGTCAGTGAACAAAATCATAAAGAAAACAGCGATTCTGCCTTCATTCAACACAAAAATGACGTGTTTACCCTTTCAGCCAAAAAAAGAAGCTAAACTGAGGTACGATTCCCTAGCTAGCCAGCTACCTTGCTACTTTTAGCTTGTTACCCACAACCGATGAGTCATTTCTATCATTTAAGTAATCCATTCTGTCCATCGTACTCATGATTTCTGGCTTCTTAATGCACCAGCTAACAAAGAAATCCCCACCCGTTTAAAAAAACCTGCCCCCAAAAATCCACCCCAAAGCAGTTATAATAACAAAAGTTCCTCCCACCTTCAAAATATATCATCAACAGGGGGTTTTCCTAGTTTTTACATCAGCAAATCTCAGCTAGAGACTTCAGCTCTGCTACAGGAGGCGAGTAGACATGTTTACAAGAGGTATAACTATGTTTAAATGTTTCATTTTGGCTGGAATGACCCTTTAAAACTAGAACACCTTCCTACATTTTACACAACGGTGGTTAATGACCGTTTTGCAACATTTTACCTTGCAGTAGGGCAGCGTTTTGTGTGAGAAGCTGTGAAATTGTCCAATCTTCTGCATTATACTGCTGTACTCTTTGGCTCTATCATCAGCAATCTCTGCAGCCTCCTTCTGCAGCATCTGAGGCCTTTATTGAAAAGAAATGAATTTTAGTTTTATTTTAGTTCTGTAGTTTGTTCTCCCCGTGAAAGAAGGATTCAGTGGGATAGTTTGAGGGAATGTGCAGAGCTACCATAACAGAGATGGCGATTGTGGCCCTTTGACCTCACTCTTGAGAGACACCAGCAGCACTGGAAGGCTTATGTCTTTTCTGGAGGCCATCAAAGCATTCAGAAGGGATTTCATTCTTTCTTCTTGTTGGCTGAAAGGATAAACACCGCAGCAGAAAGCTCAGAGGAGAAAAAGAAGCCGTTTGCTCATCTAGAAATCAATTAGAACTTGAACACTTACGCTATCTTCTCAGTGATGTCCATCGTCATTTGGTTGTTGAGGGATCTTTGGATGTTCAGGAACTCTGTTCTGACTTTTTGCAGCATGTCGTATCTATTTTTTGGGCTACAAGCAAACTGTGAATTAGTTTGTTCTTTCCGATTAACCTAAAGCTAAATCAAATGTATGCTAAATGTGGCCTAATTCATAATATGACTAAATATTTAAGTAATAATGTAAGTTGAGACAACTTTTTCATTTATTAAAATTCCAGTCAAAATAGCTATTCAGTACAACTTATTCCTTTTCAGAGTCAGAAGGCAGAAACAGAATATGAGGCTACTAACAACTGTGCAAGACCTGGTAGACCACCAAAACTGTCACCATCTGATAAACAGCACTAAAAGCTTTCATTTTCGAGAGAGAGGAAAAAAATCAAGCTCCACTCTTGATCCAGATCCAGTGTTTCTGTCCATCCTTCCACTGTCAGAAGACAACTCAGCACTATGAGTCTGAAAGGATGTGTAGCTGTCAAGAAGCAGAAAATATAACCAACTTCTAAGACTGAACTTTGGAGGTGTGGAAAAATATTCCTGCAGATTTCTTTGAAAAACTGAAAGCAAGTTTCCCAAAAAGAATGGAAGCTGTGATAATAAAAGGCAGAGACTGGCCACACTAAAATAAATACTGGAAAATGTAATATATTTAATATTCACTCATATTCAATCATAAAAAATCAACAAAAGATGTCATTTGAGCAGTGTTTAAACTTTTGCATAGGCTCAGCATAGCATATTGTTACATATTGTGAACTATTATCGTGATGAACTGCATATTATTGCCATATTGCCCAGCCCTATGCTCTGCTTTTTACCTGACACTGAAAAATGATTAACTTGTACATGACGGCTGTTTTGACTGGAGCATTTAATAAACTAACGAGTGGTCTCTGACTTTTGCACAGCATTGTATTTGCATTTCAGTAGCAAGATGAGCATAGTAACTCTGTAGTCAGGGTTACGTATAACTCTTTTGTGGAATAGTATGATACTCACATTTGTGGATTCTTCACGTAAGAAACTGAAATCATACCAAATAAAACCAGGATTGTTATGTCCAAAGTTTTTGGCAATCACACCGTTTTAACCAGTGAAACATGAATGTTGTTGGTACTGACCGTTTTCGTCCCAAAGCAGATTCAGCCATGGAGGCAACTCTCCTGCATCGTTTTCCAGTTCCTTCAGCTTTGCTCTTCGCCTGAGGCCCAACTGAGGCTTGTACCTTGGTTGGTTTTGGGAGTTATCTCAAATCCCACATGATTCAATTTCATGTTATTGTTATTAACAAAGTAGTGTCTTGTAGTCTTACCCTGTTAGCTTAGCACTTGGACATTTCGTTTCTGAAATAAAGAATTTGCATTGGCATTTTTAGTCCGTCCAAACACATTCCTGGTCAGTCATTAGACAAAACTGGAGTTGCACCTCCTATGAAGCCACAGTGCTGGACATTAGACCTGCACGATGTGGTCAAAATGCTAGAATTGCAATTACATTGCTACATGGTACAATACATTAAAACACATTAGTTAATCAATAATGTGACGTGGTCAAAGATCGGCCTGCATTATTTTGGCCAAAATAATTTGCTCTTGTTTGGGTTACATTAACACCATGATTCATCAAAACACCCAAAAGGCTCATTTGCATAACTGCAGCTTGCGATATCAGTATTGCAAAGGCCAAAATCACAATAGCTATGAAATTACATATTGTGCAGGCCTAAATTTGTCATTTATGAAGGTTCTGTACCTGTGTCTGGAGTACTGACAAAAGTCTCCCACATGTCTGAGCAGATATTTTGATCATCATCCAGAGGGGAGGAGATCAGACACCTCAAAAGAATCACGAGAACTTGTTTACTACATAGTCTTAAAATAGTATGTTTATTCTGTGATCTGCATTGTTGTCTATTTATAGACTCATCTGCTCAGGATGGGGTCGGTCAGACACTCTGTACCTCTGCAAGTGCTTCAGAAGGACATTTGTTTTTTCAATGTCCTTCATGATGATGTTCACATAGCCACTTGAGAGCGGCACCTTAAAAAACAAGAAATCCCAAATGCAGTTTACAGTTGGTTAACCTTTTCCACAAAGATAAGATAAACTCCAAAAAAGATGTATCTGATTAGAGGAAATAACACATTTTGGGATAATTGAGGGTAAAAAAGACCAGGCATTATGTAGATTTATGCATTTTTTTTTAGACAATTCTAATGTTTACCTACCAGTGTCTTCAGGTCCTTGTTCTTCATGTTGGTTAATGCACACAGAATCTTATAAATCCATTCCATCTTTTCAAGAATGTGCTCCTGCCTTCGAAACCTTATCCTCCTTGGACAAGAAAAAGTGCGCTTGAATGTACTTAACTTCACTTGATTTGTCTTTTTTGTACTATTTTATAGCACAGAACAGGGCTGCACAATATACAGTTCATTAATTGTCATCATGGTATTGGCCTTTATCACAGAGGGCCTTAATGTGCAAATAAGCCTTATTAAAGCCTTAATTTTTACTGCATGCTATGAGAATCTTGAGCAGTCCCAGCTCCAGTTGAGTGCTGAACTCATACTCTGCAAAAAATGGTATCATGTGAAGTGAAATGATTTTAAATCCAGTCGATACATCTAATATTTCCCAATTTGAGACGGTTGTGCACTTGCAAGATTATCTAGCTTATTTCTAGACATTCTTAACTTGTTCTAAGTAAATTTATTAAGTAAAATTATCTCTATATTTGCAGATAATTTTGCTGATTTCGAGCACATTTCTTAAGCAAAATTATCTGCCAATATAGTGAGATACTTTTACTCAATAAAATTACATAAAACAACTTTGAAAGGTCTAGAAATGAGGTAAATAATCTTAAATTAAGCTTGCAACAATCTTAACAGGGTAAATATTAGATTTATTGGCTATATATAAGATAACTTTACTTGACGATACCATTTTTTGCAGTTCAATGGTTCCCTCCTTAAAAGGGAACAGTCACATTTGACAATTTTTTAGTGCCAAAAGGTGCTGCATCATTTCAGAGATTAGAAAACATGTTAATGTTTTTTGGCCTGTTTCAAACAGAGAAAGAAATCATCCTTCAAGAATCACCACAGTGGCATGACTGTCCCATTCAGTCATTCCAATACACCAGCTCAACCCCTTCAAACGCACTCAACAGAAACCAGAAACCAGTCCTACCAACCAGGAATACAGAACTAACCACAGTAGGAGCTAATTTAGTATGGCAGCATTGACGCGTTTACATGTTCAGTTCTGATTCGGAAGTTCTGAAGCAGCTACAGATCCATATAACTTCTAATTGAAGTTCACATTGGAAGTGGTAGAAGAGACATGACAGCAACTGCAGTACAAGAAGGAAACAAGTCTATGAGCTCAGCTTACGAATGAAAAGCAAATCTACCTCAGAATGTTTCAG